TTTGTCCTGCTCCTGAGCCGGCGAGCATCCACACCCCACTCTCCTGGTCCAGGATCTTAATTTCCTTTTGCTGTTGTTTGGGGACCATGCCTGGCAATGATCAGGGCTTACGGTAAGTACCCACACCCCACTCTCCTGATCCAGGACTTCCATTTCTTTTTGTTGTCGCTGTTGTTGTTGTTTGGGGGCCATACCTGGCAATGCTCAGGGCTGACTCCTGGCTCTGCATTCAGGAATTACTCCTGGTGTTGCTCAGGGGACCATGTGGGGTTCTGGGGACTGAACTAGGGTTGGCTGCGTGCAGATGAATCGCCCGACTGACTGCATTAATCCTCCAGCACCAGAACTTCAATTTCAACTTGAGGGGCTGGAGAGGTACAACAGATAAGGGAGTTGGTTGTTCTGTAAGCAGCCAGACACGGGTTCAATCCCCGGCACCCCATGTGGCCCCCTGAGCACTGCCAGGAGTGACTCTTGAGTACAGAGCCAAGAGTAACCCCTGAGCATTGCCAGGTATGGCCCCCCCTAAAATAAAACAAAAACACTCTGCAAATTGTCGCTGAAACTCAACTTGAGGAGACCATGCCCACTTTGCTGCCACAGTGGAACATGAAGATGCTCTGGTCAGAGTGGACATGAGGCTGGATTTTGTCCTAGAAAATTTTAGCCTCAGATGAGTGACACACAAAAAATAAGAATAATGGGGTCACGCCTACTGCCTTGAAGATTCTCTAGGAATTCCTGTGACTGGTCCCCAGAGTTAACCCAGGTCTGTCCTCCCACAGGCTGGTCCTTCCGCCCGCTTTGCCCATCCAGGTCCCCCGCCTCCTCCCCAGCTTGCTGTCTTGGTACAGTTCATCAGAGCCAGTTTCTGCTGCTTGCAGACAAAGGCTTGGAACAATGCATGCATCTTTCTGTGAATGCGTTCCAGAGAAGGCTGGTGGGTGGGTTTGAGTGGGCTCGAAGCCAGCTGACTGTCCTTCCTTCCTTTCCCAAGGCTTCCATCCTAAGCTCGGGGATGGAGCAGGGCATGGCTCTTCTGAGAGGCTCACAAATTCCAATCAAGAGAATTCAGCCACTTCCCTTTTTGGTTCCTTTGAGTATTTTTCCAACCGCTTTCAAAGAACAAACTCTGGGAATGCCATCATCTCTGCTGGCCCTAGGCTGACTTCAACTTTTTAAAATTGCTGTGGGTCACATCCAGGGTGCTTGGGAGCTGCTCCAACAGTGCATTCAGGGGACCCTGTGGCCATTGTGTACTATAAGCATCTTAATCCTATCTCTGCAGCTCTTGACTTCAACTTTATTTTTTTTTACTTTTTTGGGGGGTCATAGCTGACAATGCACAGGGGATACTCCTGGCTCATACACTCAGGAATTACTCCTGGCGGTGCTCAGGGGACCATATAGGATGCTGGGACTTGAACCCGGGTCAGCTGTATGCAAGGCAAATAACCTACCCACTGTGCTATCGTTCTTCAACTCTTTTTTTTTTTTGTAGGAGTACTGCTATTTATTCAGCCACTGATTAGCTGATTGAATTGGGCATGAACTCCACCTTAATTTTTAATTTTATTTATTTTTTTATATTTATTTATTGAATCACTGTGGGAAAAGTTACTAAGCTTTCAGGTTTAAGTCTCGGTCATACAATGATCAAACCCCTTTCCCTTCACCAGTACTCATTTTTCACCACCAAGAACCCCAGTATACCCCCCCCACCCCTTCCAATGCCTGTAAGGCAGATGATTTCTACTTAACTCTTCTCTACATTGATTACATTATTTCGACAAAAGATGCACCATTATTGTTTAGAACTTCCCCCCAAACAATCAGAATTGCTGAAAAGGCATTGTGAAATATTTTGTTTTCTATAGCTGGTTATGAGAATCATATAATGTCATGCGGCCATGATTTTGGATTTCTGCAAAGAGCCAGATAATTACGAGATTGGTTTCTGTGTGTCTGGTGTTATGGCCATGCTGGAGAGCCACTCGTGGGGGGTAATTCGTGACCTCGGTAGGGCGTGAAGGATGTGCTGGTACCGCTCCCCTTCCCATGAAACTGCAGTTGCGCCATCACCGCAGGCTCGTACCTGGCTTTCCTATAAGCTCTGAGGTGGCAGCCACCTTGCTGCCAGCGGGGAGAAAGGTGGAAAAGAGCAACACCCTTTCCCTCCCGGGGAGGCATGGCGCCATAGTTTAACGCATCGTCCATTCACTTTTCTTCTGCAAGCTGCTGGGCTCTGGACTAAGTCCTTTTGCCTTTGGAGCCATGGCCGTGCCAGAGAGCCACTTGTGGGGGGCAACTCATGACTCGGTAGGGCGTGAAGGACGAGCCAGTACCCTCCCCCTTCCCATGAGACTGCAGTTGCCCCTTCACCGCCGGTTCATACCTGGCTTTCCAATAAACTCTGAGGTGGCGGTCACCTTGCTGCCAGGGGGGGAAAAGGCGGAAGGGAGCAACACCCTTTCCCTCCCGGGGATGCATGGCACCATAGTTTAATGCATGGTCCATTCACTTTTCTGCCGCAAGCTGCCGAATTCTGGATTACAGACTTCAACTCTTAATGGCTGCCATCCCCACATCAGCTCAGCTACCTTCTTGCTATGGCCATAATCTGGCAAATTAAATTGTTGTTGAAATCTTGAGCTACAATGGAAGATCTTTTTTTTTTCTTTCCTTTTCTTTCTTTTTTTTTTTTTTTGCTTTGTGTCACACCCAGCAATGTTCAGTTGTTATTCCTGGCTCTGCACTCAGGAATTACTCCTGGAGGGTTCAGGGGACCCCATGGGATGCTGGGGTTGAACCCGGATCAGCTGCGCGTGAGGCAAGTGTCCTACGCACTGTACTATTACTATAATGAACGGTTTTCCTTTGTGCCACTACTGCCACTCGTTGTGCCACTATCATGGATCATACTATGTCATTATTTTTTACTAGCAGCTCATTTCATTAGTAGTTGTAAACTCTGAAGGCAGAGTCCATGAGTGTTTAGCACAAAGCTTTAAAGTAAGGGGCTAGAGTGATAGCACAGCAGGTAGGGCGTTTGCCTTGCACGCAGCCGACCCGGGTTTGATTCCCAGCATCCCATATGGTCCCCTGAGCACTGCCAGGAGTAATTCCTAAGTGCATGAGCCAGGAGTAAACCCTGTGCATTGCCGGGTGTGACCCAAAAAGCAAATAAATAAATAAAGTAAACGTAAGCCAAACAACCAGACACCATACATAAATGCATGGGAATATTTTAGGTAAAAATCATGTAATACAAACCCTTTTTTAAAAAATGGGAAAAAAGAGAGCTGGATAGTACGGTGGGTAAGGCATTTGCCTTATATACAGCCAACCTGTGTTTGACGCCTAGCAAAACACAACCCTGAGCTCTACCTGATATGGCCCCCAAACCAAAAATGAGGGGCTTTGGCATATGCCTTGCATGCAGCCTACTCCTGTTCAATCCCCAGTACTACCAGCTGGAGCCCTGGAGCCCCTGGACCCTGCTGGGGGCAGCCCAGGTCATCTAGGCACTGCAGGGCCTAAGCAGTACATCTTCAGGCCCTTGCTGAATCACAGGCTCTGTTTGCTGAGAACTGCTGTGTGCATGTGTGTGGGGGTGGGGGGTTTGCTGTTGGGGGGAATTTCTCCCCCCAAGAAATGAAAAATGAAAACAGGGCCCAGAGAAATAACGTAGGGGGTTAGAATGCCTGCCTTGCATGCATATGGTCACAAGTTCAAATCCCTGGGTCCCATATGCACTGAGCACAATCTGGGCAGCTTTACCGCTTGAGTGTGAACCTCAGCTGTCTGCGATCCCCAGCGCTACGAGATTTCTAGTTATATAGCAGCTACAGGTGTGCACAAGAAGCCCCTGAAATAAGTTGTCCAAGTTTCTGTTCCTAGGAAATGTGACCTCTGGCAAGCACGTGTGCAAGCACAGCTTGTATGGCTGAAGAACATGACCTCAGCCAGTACAACTGAAAGGACGCACACCTCAGGGAGCACCCCAGCCAAGGGGGTGAGAACTGCTACCTGACATGATTAACCCCACTGGATAAGCACACAGCTAAAAATGCGCAAGTACTGAAGCTGGGCATATGTGCAATTCAGTCACTGCTGAAAAAAGTGGGGATGGGGATGTGGGGATAGAAATTTTTTGCTTTGGGGGGCCATGCCTGGCTGTGTTCAAGGCTACGATCCTTGGCTTGGTGCTCAGGGGTCACCCTGTGTAGTGCTCAGGAGACATATGGAATGCCAAGTGAGCTGAAGGCAAGTACCTTAATTCTTGTACCATTTCTCTGACTCTGAAAAAAATTTTTTAAAGATGAGACCCAGGAGCCAGAAAGATAGCACAGTAGACAGAGTACTTGCCATGCAAAGAGCCAACCCAAGTTTCATCCCTGGCATCCCATATAGTCCTGCCATGAGTAATTCTGGAGTGTAGAGCTAGGACTAACCTCTGAGTACCACCAGGTATGGCTCAAAAACAAAAAAAAAGACCCCGTTAGTACAGGTGTACCCCCCTCCAGCCCAACTCCCAACACACACACACACACACACACACACACACACACACACACACACAGAGTTAACAGTTCAGATTCTGAAAGATAAAAGTAGCTCACCAGGTTGGTATTTGGTGCCAGGTCAGGGCTTTAAAAGTGGTCCATGGGGCTGCAGTGATAGCACAGCGGGTAGGGTGTTTGCCTTGCACATGGCCGATCCAGGTTTGATTCCCAGCACCCCATATGGTACCCTGAGCACCGCCAGGAGTAATTCCTGGGTGCATGTGACAGGAGTAAGCCCTGTGCACTGTGCAAGTGTGACCCAAAAAAGCAAAAAAATAAATAAAAGTTGTGCAGACTTCTGGGGCAATGCGCTCGGCATGCTAAGAAACCATCTGACTCCAAGACGGCCCAATGTAAACAGACATTCAGTTCTTTGCAGCCCTGTTCTCACAGGTGTCTCCCACACAAATTAACCTAGTCCATGGTCAGTTTAGGTTTCAGAGTAAAGTTTATTTGAAATTGACCTGCAGCAACCTCCCTATTCCAGTAACTACTCTTTCACGTGTCAACTGCTGGCCCCAATGTGAGGAAGGGGATGAAGGAGGGGGAAGCTGCCCTGTGCAGGTCTCTCTACCCTTCAGCATGTGCTGTCAGCCCTGAGTCCCTTTGACATGGCCACACGTTTGAGCAGTGTAAGACCCTGAGATAACATCGAAGCCAGTGGCCATCTCCTGGGTTCGCTGGTCACATCCAAGTCACTGTGACCAATACAAGTGATCAGTGGTGGTCAAAGGTAGACAAGAGGCACAAGCTGTGGTAAGAACCTTCTCTATTAAAGAGGGTTCTACGAACAATACATGGAATGTTCTATTTCTTAAAGTGCTCAACTACAACATAAAAAATAGAAGTGTCAGGAAGTTGGTGTCTATTGGTGAGAAATCAAGTGATGACGAGAGTCTTTTGGAAATACACAGGAACTGAAAGAACATAAAAACAATTCTGCTCACACCATCTGAGCAATGAGGATGAAAAGAGCTTCAAGCTTCGTCTCCGGCTGCCAGGAGTGTCAATTTCATCTGTGCACGGAGACCTTCTCCTCTTAACTTCATGGCAACCAAATAATCAGACACTTATGTCTTTTCTCTCTAATCCCTCTCATCAGAGCCCTCCAATCTGTACAAATTGGACTATGATCAGCAAAGGGCCAATTTACAGATGGCCTGGAAGCTACTTTCCTATAGATATTTAGCAAAAACCTGAGGAATCTGAGTTTCCAAATCTGCCAGATTGGGGCCCATATAGAAGAGGTTCACGACGTCTCTATCATCTTGGCACAAGTACAAGATCCAGGACAAGATCAAGTACAAGAATCAGGGGTGACAGAGTAGTGAGGGTAAGTATGGAGCAGCGGGCCGTGGCTGGCCTATCCTGAAGTTCACACACAAGTACGGGCACTCACTTGTAAGTCCAGTGAGCAGTGGCCCAGCCCTGGCCCTTGCACAGGTCCCGGTGACGAAGGAAACAGGCGTGGACTCGGAAGCGCCGGCCACAGTGGGGACAGGCGTGCAGGGCTCCGGCGTGGGTTTTCATGTGCTCTGTCAGGTGATGCTTCAGCTTAAAGCGTTTGTTGCAAATGCCACAGCCAAAAGGCCGGAGGCTGAAGGTCAGCATGATGTGTCGGTCTCGCTTTGGCTTCACGGCAAACCTTTTCCCACACAAGCAACCGAAGCGCTTTCCATCAGCGGGCGGAGTTCCTCCCCCTAGTTTCACAGGCCCGTGCACCGCCTGGCCCACCCCTCCAGGACCTCCACCCCCGGAGAGGATTTCATTTCCGTGAAGATCCACGGGTTTCCAGGATGTCCCCCAGGCCTCCAAGGCCGTCCCTGCCCCTGCCCCTGCCCCTGTGGGCATTAAGAAGCCAAGCTCTCCACTGCCTTCTCCATCAACGCCAGGAAACGCTCTGTTTTCCTCCTTGACGCCCCCGTACTGTGTCCCACCGCCTGCTAGATCCTCCTTGGGCTCAAAGGGCTCTTGCTTCACGTAGACTTTAGGGGGCTGTGAAGGAGAAGGAGTTGGAGGCTCGAGTACCGAACTCTCTGCTTCCGGGAGTCTTCGAGGGGTGGCAGGCAGGGGTGCTGGGTGGGATCCCTGAGGACGGGTGAGGCCCCACGAGACTCTCTGGGGCTGGGGAGTTTGAGAGACGGCTGCTGCCCCCTGGTACTCCTCCTCCTCTTCCTCTTCCTCCTCTTCCTCCTCCTCCTCCACTTGGATCTGCAATACCTCTCCCAGGTCACTCCCCTCCCCTGCAGCGGGGCTCTCAGTGGAGGAGGAGAAGGACGGTCCCAGCGGTGTCTGGAAGGGAGCTGAACGGATGCACCAGCCTCCCGCAGGGGTCGAGGGGGCCCCGGCACGGGTGGCCCCCCCGCCCCCCGAGGTTTCGAGTTCTTTAAGAATCTCTGAGCACTGGTCCACCACCTGCCACATCTGGAGGCCGCTGGCCACCAGGAGGTGGGCGGGGAGGGCGTCCAGCGTCAGGCGGAGGTGGCCGGAGTAAATGAGCTGCAGCAGCCCCTCAAAGGCGTCGGCTTCGATGACGCTGGGCAGCGTGAGGCGGGGGGCGTCCCCCAGCAGCAGCTTATCGTGGAAGTAGGGGGAGGCGGCCGCCAGCACGGCCTTGTGGGCCCGAAGCTCCCGGCCCTGCACGAGGAGGGACACATCGCAGAACTTGCCCTCCAGCCGGTGGCGGTTCAGGGCTTCAAGCAGCAGCGAGCTGTGCTGCGGGAACTCGATCTGGACGGTGCGCGGGGCCGGGGTGCAAGGCGGGGCCGGGGGCGCGGAGGGCGGCGGCGCGGGGGTCTCCATGGCCATGTCGGGGCGCGCGGGGCGCAATCGGCTGTGGAGGGAAGAGAGGAGAGGGGGGTCACAGGCGCACCAGGGAGGAGTCTGTCCGCCAGCACCACCGCCGCCCGGAGCCCCGCGGCCGGGGAAACTTTCCAGAGAGGCGGATCGTGCAGGAGGCTCCGCACACCCCCGCCCCGGCTGGGAACACCAAACATGCTACACACACGCACCTACGGGGGCTGCGGCTCCCTCGGCTCCGCGTCGGGCGTCGCCGGCCCGGGGCGCCTGCTGCTCGCCGCTGCTGCCCTCACAGGGTCCACAGAGCCCCCGGGAAAGCCGCGGCCACCGCGACGGCGCGAGCGCAGGTGACCCTTCCCGCCGCCACGCCCGCGCGCGACCACACGCGCTCACCGGCAGTCCTCCGCAGCGACCGCGCGTCCCGGGCCGGAAGCAGACTCTGGGCCCCGCCCCCGGACGCCGACGCGCGGAGCGGGAGGGATTCGGGCTGCAGCCAATCGGAGGACGCTCCTCTACAAGCCTCGTGCGGATTGGCTGCTCGGGCGAAGGCGGTGCCGGCCCGGGGCCCCTGCCCCGCGGCGGGTGGCGGGTGGCTACTGCCCAGGATGCGAAGTCTGGTCCCCGGGTAGCGACAGCCAGCCGGGCGGAGGGGACAACCGGAAGCCCTCTAGGGTTAAGAGTAGCGCCGCCCTCCCTGCTGGCCCTCGGAGGCGCCGAGAGAGGACTAGAGACCGGGTGACTTGGCATTGTCCACTCCAGTTCACCCCCGCAGCACTGCAGAGTGGGTGTTGTCATCCTTGGTTTCCTTGGGGGAAACCAAGGCAGCGAGCGGTGAGCCTGGGACTGGATCCCAGATTTGCTGCGGAACCAAGGGTGTTCTAGGTTCCTTTCGTTTGTTTGTTGGGAGGCCACAGCTGAAGGTAGTCGGTACTCGGGGTTCATTCCCAGTGCGTGCCCGGATGGAGCCCAATTTGTCCTGCATAGTGACATTTTAACCCGCAACAAAAATATTCTTAAAAGATGTAAATTGGGATCTTTTTGTTTGGTTTCAGTGTGTCCAAAACCAAACAGTTTTCACAGGGGTCACTCCTAGCTGGCTATGAGGAAACGGGTGGGGAGGGGGGTGGTGATGATCTGTGGTGCAGGGAACTGAACCAGGACCGACCACGGGCAAGGCAGGTGCCATGTCTTTGGCTCCTATTAACATACTCCGGCTCTTATCAGAGAATTAACCTGCATGTCCTGGGCCTCTGTACTCCTTGAGTCTTAATGGTGCAGTGAGCTGGGCCAGCCCAAAGCCCTTGTTCAAAGGATCTACCTGTTAAAGAGTGATATGTTTTGTTTTTTTTTTTTTTGCTTTTTGGGTCACACCCGGAGATGCACAGGGGTTACTCCTGGCTCTGCACTAAGGAATTACCCGTGGCGGTGCTCAGGGGACCATATGGGATGCTGGGAATCGAACCCGGGTCGGCCACATGCAAGGCAAACACCCCACCCGCTGTGCTATCGCTCCAGCCCTGAAGAGTGATAGTCTAGGAAACCACTGAGGCACTCAAGAACAACCCGTGCCCCCCAGATTGTCAGTTTTCTCAGAGAGCAGATCCCGTCACCCTCCGGATCCACTGGGGCTCCAGTTCGAAAGTCAACACAGCGATAAAAGAACAATCTCCGTTTATTAAACATGATTTTTCTGTTTCACCACACACTCCAGAAAAAAAGGAAATGGGGCTGGGAGTGGAGAAAAAGGGCCAGTGGTGGGGGACGCAGAAGGCTGGGAGTGGGGTAGGGTGGGGAGGGAGAACGAGAAAACAAAATAAAACAGGTAGGGGGAGCACCCCCCCACCCTTCGGGCAGGGGGCCAGGAAGGAAGCGTGGGGGGGAGGGGGCCAGGAAGCTCTGTACAGAGGGGTTGCCCCCAGCCCACACACACACACCCCAGATATGTACAGTACAAATCCCAGATAATTACAACAGCCAGAGGGGGGGGGCGGGAGGGGGGTAGGGTCTGAGGTCGGGAAAGAAAGGGAAGGGCAAGGGGATAAAATTTCACATATTTACAACTTTTATATAAGTATAAATTTGGCCCCGGCTGGGTGTATGTGTAGGGGAGGGACTGGGGGGGGGGGGCTGTCCATACAAAAGAAAGAGGGGCGGGGTCTGGGGGAGTCTCCATACCAAACGCAAGAAGGAAGGGGCAAGGCTGGGTAGGGGATAGCAGTCAGGGAAAAGGGGGGTGCCAAGAAAGGGCGTCTCCCCTCCCGTGACCTACCCCCCCCAAACCACATCCATCCTACCTCCCCTATCCCGCCAGAGAGCTATGTACAGAGAAACACCGAAAAATTGTGGAGCTGGCGGGCGGGAGGGAGGTGGAGGGAGATTGGGGGTGGGGGGGGAGGGGGAGAGGGAAACCCAGCCCTGTCCTACCTCCCCCTGGGACAGAGTCATGGAAGGGGGCCCCCAACACCCCTCCTCCAACACAGGTCCCCCCGCCCTGGGGGGAGAGAGACATGGCTTTTCCTAGAGTAAGTTCCCCCCCTCCCCCTGGGAGCAGAGACCTCAAAGAGAAAGGGGAGGGCGGGGGGGGGGGGGGTTGTGCGCGTTGAGTGTTTCCCAACAGACGCACCCCCCAAAACCTAAGCCCTCACCCTCACCCCAATCCCACCCCACCCAACTCACTGGGGGAGGGGGGGGCATAAGCCCCCTCACCCCGCTCTGGGACCAGCCAAGAGCAGATCAGGTGTGGGAAGAAGGGGAGATCCCTCCCCCCCTTCCCTGCCGCCCCCTCCCTGCCCCGGCGGCCCCTCCACCCCATCTGGGTTCTGGGTGGGGAGGGAGTCGATTGAAGAGTGGTAGGAGAAGGAGTTTGTGCGTGCTGAGCCCCCCCAGACGCTCCTGAGAAATCAAGGGGTAGTAGGGCCCCCTCACCTGGGGTCCCCTCCCCGTAACAAAGGGGAACAGGGGAGGCCAAAATGGGGCGGTGGAGGGGAGTTAGATTGTCAGCTCTGGTTACTGCTAAAAAATCACCCTGAAGTTGAAAGTTTGGAGGTGCCACACCCCCAGGTGGGGGGCGAGGGTCTGTCCCCCAGTGCTCAGGGGAACGATGAGGCAGAGGACGGGGATAGCACCCCAGAGTGAAGGGGTCTGAGTGGGGTAGTTGGTGTCCTTGGGGAAGGGTCTCCGGGGGGTCACAGAGGAGACAGCACCCCAACAGGAAGGGGTCAGCGAAGGGCCCCACGCTCCCTCCTGGGCCTGGAGCAGTGGGGGTGGGGGATCGGTGCCCCCCAGGAGGCATTCAGGGAGGTGATCCCCGCTGTCCCCCGAGCCGAGCCGTCCTCCAGTCCCCCAGTCCCGGAGGCGGTGCTGTTCCGGGAAGGGGTGCGGGGGGCAGGGGCAGGCCGTGATGCTGGGTGAGCTAGTGGTCTGCGGTGTTTCGGAACTCGCCGTTCTCGGTGATCTGCAGCCGGGGTGGGGGTGGGGGGGCTGGGGGGGCCAGGCCGTTCCAAGGTGGGGCCAGCGTCACACGCGGGTTTGTTGGACCCAAGGGGGGAAGCTGCCTCTCCTGCAAGACACCAAAGAGGAGAGCGCGGACTTATTGAGACGCTTCGCGGGGGCCTGGGTGCCAGCCCCCTTAGAAGTGGCCCCCAACAGTGCCAGCCCCCGCCGCACGCCGTGCCCGCCCACCCTGGGCCCCAGGGACAACCCCACCCCAGCCTCCTGCTCCGCTTCTCACCTGTGTAGAAGTTACATCTTCTGGGATGGGAGAGAACCTCACTCTAGACCCCTAAGGGGCCCTCCAACCCGGGCGCCCTACCAGGAAGCCGGTTTGCAAAAGAGCTCCCGCGCCGCCCCGCACCCCGGCCCGCTCCTCTCAGCACCCCCTCCCGGCCCACCCCCAGCCCCAGGGAGGAACTGTGTGTTGAGGGAATGTGGGGAGGCAGTACAGCGAAACCTCATTAGTTCAAACCCCCGTGGATCTGGAATTTTTTCATAATTTGAACAAAATCTGGGCTCGAGTGTTCCTGGCTCTCCGAAGAAAGGGTGTGCTGCGCAAGTGAACAGCGGCAAGCCGCCTGTGGGAGGAAAGGCTGGACCTCACTGGAAGGCAAGACTGCTCAAGCTAGCTACTCCTCAGCGCATGCTCCCTGAGGGCCTCCGTGGAAAGCCTGCGTGGTGGAGGTGCTACTTACTGTCTGTGTTTTGAAGTCATGCATGTCATTAAATAGACAGTGTCATTCAGTTTTGTCACTTAGTCAGAGTGGCCATCTTCTCAAATATAACATTCCAAATTAGAGAGGTTTAACTGTACTGGGGGGGAAAGGAAGGGGGTTCAGGGAAGTGATGCGGGCAGGGGAAGTGCCGTGGGAGGGGCGGGCTCTCTCCCGACTACCACAGGAGCTTCCGTGGGAATCAGCAGGCCCCAGGCCCGATCACCCTGGGAGCAGAAGCCGGCTGCACTCCTCTCCACCCCCACGTTCCTTTCAATCACTCTCTGCGGCCTCCTAGTTAGGGGGTGAGGGGTTCCAGCCTGCCTCCCACCCCTGGTCCTGTTCCAGCACCTCCCGTGGCTCCTGGCCGGCCCTGTGCCCCCGCCCTGCACTCGAGCTCCCGGCCTCTGCTGGGAGAGCCAGAGAAAGCCTTCTGGAGGGAGCCCCGCGTTCTGGTGGCTCTCCTGGCTCTTTTGGAATACCGCACATAACTCATTTGGAAATGAGTGATTGGGCGGCAGGGGGGGCCAGTGGTTCAGAGATTGCGGCCGCGTTGGTTTCTGGGCCCCAGACAGGCCGTACACCGAGGGCAGGTCTGGTCCTATCTCTAGAGAACATGAAAACATTCCAAGGGGGCTAGAGCGAGAGTCCAGCAGGGAGGGCGTTTGCCTTGCATGCGGCCGACCCAGGTTCGATTCCCAGCATCCCATATGGTCTCCTGAGCACCACTAGGAGTAATTCCTGAGTGCAGAGTCAGGAGTAACCCAGGTGCAGCACCAGGTGTGACCCAAAAGAGCCAAAAAAGAAAAAACCCAAAACCAAAAACATTCCAAGTCCCAGGGCCCCACCCCCAGAAGATCACCAAAGCCCCCAGCTGGCCACAAAGCGGTGGCCGGTCCGCTCAGCTTACTGAACAGCTCCCACTTTCCAGAAGTTGGCAAGAGGGGAAATTACAGATGGCAGAGGACCCTGGGTCTGGCTGAGAGCAGGGGAAGCTTCCCTTCCCCCTGCTTGTCTGCTGGCGACAGCACACAGGCGTGCCCCCTACACCCCCATGGACCCAAATTTAGAAAGTGGATAAATTAGGGTGCCATTATTCATCTTACAAAAGAATTCACTGCAGGAGTCCTTTAAATGGTGAGGTCCCCTAGTGCCTTTCAGCATCTGTTTACAGATCACCAAGGACTCTGACGGCAAGGCTGGGCAGGCAGAGAGTTAAAATTACAGTGCCAGGAGCCACTGCCCATGCACATCAGCACCCGCGAGAGGAGACAGCTCAGAGATGGCAGCTCAGAGGCGGCGGCGGACAGGGGCCCATTGGCTGGCTTTTTAGGTAGGACTTTGTGTCCCGCAGGGTGAGCAGGGAGGGGGCAGGGGAGTGAGTGGCCTGAGCGGGCAGGAGAGAGGCTGGCCACAGGCTAGGCTGTGCCTGGTGTCTCTGCCCGCCTGGGCCTGGATCTGTTCTCTCCAAAGCGCCGCGCTCATCTCTCCACGTGCACACGCCGCGTTCTGAGCCCAGTCCCCTGCCCGCTGCTACCACACCTACACAGCATTCTGACCCCCCAAAGCCTCCCTGCACTAAGTACCTGGTTCCTGCCCCATGGGGAGACTCACAGATGTGGGGGAGAAGGAAGAGAGAGAGAGGTGGGGGGAGGGGCAGAGAACCAAGGTTAGGAGAGGAAGAGGAGAAACCCCACCTACCTGCTGCAGAATGACCCCTAGGGCCGGGCACCCCCAACCCTTCATCATCACCGCCACCCCTTTAAAAGACGCCCCCTCCCTGTGCCCCAGCCCCCCACCCCCGGACGCTCGGTGAAATGGGGGGTGACAGACATACACTGGAGAGGGGGGAAGGGAGGCCAGGCGGGGGGGGGGGGGTTGTGGGAGGAGTGTGGTCTGGGTTTGTGGGGCCATCCGGTAGGCGCTGGGCAGCTGTGGGGGGCCGCAGGACGCTGGGCTGATGGGTCTGTGCAGGAGGTGTCAGGAGAGCAGGGGGGCACTCTCGGGGGTGGAGGGCAGCCGTGAGAGCGGGGCCAGGCTCCAGAGAGGTGGGAGGGAGTAGGCTTCACGACCAACCTGCAGTGGTCCGGTGTCACCTCCCCCTGTGTCCTCCGCCCGTGGTCAAAAGCGGAACCAGGAGAATTACCTGATGAGGAGCTGCAGGGGGAGAGAGTGGGGTCACGGGGTCAGGAGCCTGGGGGGGGGGTGCGGGAAGCCTGGCGGTCAGAGCAGAGGAAGGAGGAGCATGGAGGGGAAAGTGAGCAGAATTGGGGGGCAAGCACAGGGCGGGGGGCCGGGAAGGAAGTCCTACAAGCTGGCTGGTGAGAAGAGAGGGCGGGCAGTGGGACACTGAGAGCAAGTCAGGGGTGAGGATGAGGGGGAGGTCGGGCCGGAGGGGGCTGCACATATGGAGAGGGGGTCCAGGGTTGGGAGAGTCAGAGGAAGCTATCTGGGAGCTTCCCGGGAGTGGGAGAGCTGGAGGGCCCAGAGGACAGCGGTGTCGGGGGTCCCGAGACCCCAAGGCTTTATCCAGAGCCTGAGGCATCCGGAACGCCCCTAAGCTCCAGCCTTGAAGCTCTGCACTTTCTGCTCTCCTGATCGGGCTGGGGCCGCTGGATTCCCTGCCTGGAGTGGAAGTGGCCGGGTACGGGCCGGTGGGCGTGGGGGGCCGTGAGGGTCTGGTGGAGGTCCTGAGACGCAGACAGCAGTGGGAAATATGGGGGAGGGGCGGCACAGGGGGGTGGGCAGACACTGCCAGGAGTGACAAAGGCACAGACGATGGGATGAAGATGGGGTCACTGGGGGAGCTGCCAGCCGCAGCTTCCAGACGAACGGAGGACAGTGGGAGACAGATGGCAGTGGGGCTTGGGGTGGCGATGCCATGAGAGCACGAAGGACAGTGGGATGGATGGGGATGGGACACAGAGAAGATAAATGACATTGTAATTTCCACCTGAGCGTCGAGCAGCCTCTTCTTGGGTTCAGGCAGCGGCTCAGCCATGGCGGGGTGGTCCCGGCGCAGCTCCTCCTCCACCAGCATCAGCCTGAAGGGACGGGCTTCAGTGGGGTTAGTGGCGGGCACGGGCTGGGCGCCCGCCAGGGATCCTGACTCCTCAGCTCTGTGGAAAAACCTAGAACATCCTCGCCCCCTGTGCCCAGGATCCCTCCATTCTTGCCACCGAAACTCCCTGGTACTCACCTTCTTCCCGGGAACCCTGCTAAGGCTGCTCTGTGCCACCCAGAGCCTGCAGCCTGCAGCCCCATCAGAGCAGTGCTCCGACACAGACCCCCGTGGCCAAGTTCCACGCCCTAAAGGGTCTCGCTCATCACCATCATTCCCAACATCTCAAAGGGTCTAATATATTGTACTTGAAAAGTACGTACGGATTGGATCAACCAGGAGCTGGCTGGAGCAGGGGGGCCCCTCTGCCCCCCATCCCAATAACCCAAACCCTGGCTGTGACCCCTCCCTCAGGGTCCGGGATTGTCCCAGGACCACTCCTCTTCTAAGGGAATGTGCCCATCGGCTGGAACCGTGTGGTTGGGGAAACTCTCAGGGATCCCTGCTTCAGGATGAACATCACAGGAGAGAAACCAGAAGCGACTCCCCGCCCATTTTCTGCGAGCACCAGAAGTCACCAAGCAGAGACACGTAAGTGCTGTAAAGGCCACTTAATCGAGCAGGAATCTCCACCCTGGTGCGGGTGGGCCCAGGAATGGCATCCTGAGGGTATGCAGTAGGCTTTCCTATCCTGATTTGGCGCTGAGGGTTGGAGGGGGAGCTCACTTGCTCTGTCCAGCCAGAGACCCGCTTGCGCTCCCCCTCCCCGGGCCGCCCCTCACCTGCCGATGATGCTCTTGATCTGGGAGTCCTTCTCCACCTGCTGCTGCCGCAGCCTCTTCTCACTCTGTTCCAGGCGGGCCTGATACTGCATCAGGATCTTGCTGGTCTGTTCCTCCTGGGACAGCAGCCTCCGCTCATACTCTTCCAGCTTCCGGTTGGACATGTGCAGCCGCTCCTTCAGCGAGTGGATCTCTTCCTCATACTCCTTCACCTGCCCGCCGGGCACACGACCCCGCACTGTGAGGGGCGTCTCAGCCCCCCCAACCACCCCAGCCACCAACCCCGCTGGCTCAGCACGGCCACCGCCCATGGAGGCTGAGGGACATCCCAATCATCTTTCTCAGCCCCTTTCCCATCTTTTTTTTTGGGGGGGGGGGACATGGGGGTAGGGGTGTTTGTGGTTGCTCTTCCAGCATGGTGATGCGGTGGGTGCCGGGATGGGACCTGAGGCCTCCACAGGTGAAGCATGCCCACAGCCCTCGGTGCCATCTCCGCCTGCTGCCCCTACCTTCTGCGCTACGCATCCCACTTTTTTGGGGGGTCACACCCGGCGATGCACAGGGGTTATTCCTGGCTCTGCACTCAGGAATTACTCCTGGCGGTGCTTGGGGGACCACATGGGATGCTGGGAATCGAACCTGGGTTGGCTGCGTGCAAGGCAAATGCCCTACGTGCTGTTCTATCGCTCCAGCCCCCACATCCCACTTTTTTTTCTTTTTGGGTCACACCCGGCGATGCACAGGGGTTACTCCTGGCTCATGCACTCAGCAATTACCCTGGTGGTGCTCAGGGGAACATATGGAATGCTGGGAATCGAACCCGGGTCAGCCGCGTGCAAGGCAAACAAACGCCCTCCCCACTGTGCTATTGCTCCAGCCCCACGTCCCACTTTTGAACAGGTCCTTCAACTGAACTGAGCTCCCTCAAAACAAATCAAGGACAGACTCTTGACCCCTGAGGGGAATCGACGTGTTCACACCTGTGCCATGTGGCCAGATGAGGACACACAAGGGAACCTGGACTCTCAGGTGCACCTTGAGTGACTGTGCCCAGAAACTACAGGTGAGCTCACAATTTGGTCCCACTCCAGTTCCAGAACACACAGGGGAGAGCCAGGGGGGAAACGGAATTGGCTGGGGAGAGGAAGGCCTGGCCTGAGCTTCCTGTGAGGCTCAGAATGAGAGCCCAGAAGCCTCTGCGGTGACAGCCTCACGGTCAGGAGGGGCTCAGAGAAGCTATTTTCTCTTCCCTGTTGGCTCCCCAATGAATAGCTGTGTTAGCCAATGCATTGGCCACCAGTCACATGTGGCTACTTGAAATTTAAATAAAAATTTGGTTCCTTAATTGCGTTAGCAACAGTCAGTGAATAACAATGGACACTGCAGATAACACAATGTTTCTAGAAAATTCTTTGGGACAATACTAGTTCAGGGTCTGCCTCAACAGGTTTCTCATCTGATCGCTAGGACAAAAGAAAATGACTCTTTTTCATTCGTGACCAATCCCATTTGAGGTGTAGATATTAGGCTGTGCCTCGGGTGTAGACAATAGGCCATACCTTATGGAACTTGCTGGACCAGGTCAAACTAAGTCAGTTCCAGTGTCTGCCTATGATGAAAGACTACTACCCCCAACAAACCTCTTTAAGCACTTGTTTGTTTTTTGGTTCCTGGCAGTGCTCAGGGCTTACTTCTGGCTCTACACTCAGGAATTACTCCCTGTGGTGTTTGGGGGACCATATGGGATGCTGGGGATCGAACCCAGGTTGGCTGCCACATGCAAGACAAACACCCTACCAGCTGTACTATGGCTCCGGGCCCCTCACCAGCCCCCTCTCTACCCACCCAGGCTGGACTTATTGCTTCTTTGCAGATAGACTAACGCTAAAGACACCCTCTTCTTGGCTTGCCCACCCAAGCACTGTCTGCTAAGTTATCGGCATGTGCTTCCGAGGTCCTGCCATCCTTTGCTCCAGGCCACCACCAGCCTAGATTCAAGATCAGTATTTCCCAAGCTGGGGGATTTCACCCTTCTCAGGGTAGTAGAATGATGAGGTAATGTGTCAAAGCTTCCGGTGCAATTTGGGGGTTGACTTTTTTGTTTGTTCACTTAAACAAAATAGATTGGTGGGGGAAGCTATGTAATTCTGAAAAGGGGCAGAGGCCAGATGAGTTTGGGAACCTCTGGTCTCACTGGTCTTTATACACACACACGGATCAATACACACACACAAACACACACACTTTTCCAACAATGCCCCTGTGGGGGAAGCGAGTATTGCTAGAATTCTGACTGTACCTCCTCTGCCCAACTTTAACTGATCAGCTCATAATGCTAGTAACTTTTGCTTTTCTGAGAGTCTCAAGGGCCAGAGCTCCTAGTCTGGCAGTGGGGAAAAAAAATCAAATAGATTGTCCCCTAGATAATGAATAAATGTGTACCATCCACAAAGCAGAGTGGAAATGGGCTTTTCCACAGACTGGCTGGGTACCAGGTCTGCCCTAACAGACTTGAGAGCTTAACATGGGGCTTGGGGGGCCAGAGGGATCGTGTATCAGGTAAGGCGTTTGCCTGGCATGTGGTTTCATCCCGGTTTCCTCCCTGGCATCCCATATGGTCCCCTAAGTACCATCAGGAGTGATCCCTGAGCAGAGCCAGGGTTAAGGGCTGAGCACTGCAGCATGTGACCCAAACCTATCCCTACCCTGCCAAACACAAAACAAGATAGGGCAGGGGATCTTTGTCTTTTTTTTCCTCGGAAGAGATTCAGTGACCCTGTGGCGTGCAGGGGGAAGCCACGCGTACCCTGTCCAGTCGACTCTCATCCATGGACTTGGAGTACTCCTTGAGCTTGTACTCCTCCCGCTCGATGTGGGCACTCTCGATGTCAGCTGACAGGTGAGGCATATTGGAGACCCAGGCCACCGTCCGCTCAGAAGCTGGCATGGTTGGGTTCAGCGTGGATGGGGTCTGAGAATGCTGGGGCGCGGTGGGGTGGGGCAAACAGAGAAGGGGGAGGCGGAGAAAGGCAGGTGCTCTCAGAGGGCGCTGCCAAGAAAGAGGCCTGGCCCATCTGTTCTCTGGCCCTGGCACTGCGGATGGCTAGGGGCGCGACTGAGCCCGTCTGCCCCAGGGAACGACTGTTGCGCAGGCTGAAGCTGCAATGCCTGGCATAGCTCCTGGCACCGAGCAGCCTCTCCACAAAGGTTTGTGAATGGAAGACAGTGGGCAAAGGTCCGTGCCTTCAGGCCCCAAGTGGCCCTCCCCGCTCCCTCCCCAGCTCCTTTATTCCTGTCCTCCCTGTCCTCAGCCACCCGCCCTCCCTCCCACTCGCACCTACCTGCTTGGTGATGGAGGGCTTGAGCCCCCCACCCCCTCCGCCACCGCTGCCCCCGCTGCCCCCAATGCTGCCCTCCTTGCTGAGGCTCTGCTGTCGTGGTCGGGCAGGGCCGTAACTTGGCTCTGGTGACTGCAATAGATTCCCGCTGGACGGTCGGGGTTTCTGGGCCGCACTGACTGTCAACTGCTGGGACTTGCCCCTCTGCAGTGGGGGCGGCTGGCCCCCGCCCCCCCCACCGCTGCCCCCGCCGCCACTCCCACCACCGGGCCCTGAGGGGGCAGGCCTCTGGGGCCCGATGGTGATCTGAGGCGGGGACAGCATGTGCTGCAGGTTGTCCTGGAGTGAGAGCTGCCGCCGGGTAAAATCAGTGCCAGAGGGTCCGAACTCATCACTATAGCTGTGGCTGTGGAGGATGGAAGCGGCGGGGGGCTTGGGGACCCCCGAGGAGAGGTCCTCGCTCTTGCTATAGCCGTGAAAGGGGGCAAAGGTGTCCCCGGGGGGCTCGCCCCCTCGGTGGTGGTGATGGTGGTGGTGATGGTGATGGGAGGAAGGCGGGCCGTGGCCCCCGCTACCGCCGTGGCCTGCCGGGGGCCCGGGCCCATCGGCAGCCATGTGGAACAGAGGGTTCTGGAAGGAGAGGGGGATGCGCAGTTGCTGGGCGGGGACGCCGTCCGTGGTGACGCCCATCTGGCTGAGGCGCATGCCTGCCGCCGTGATGGAGGACCCGCTGCCCTGCGAGAGACGCCCCGCGGGGGCCGGCCGTAGCCCCAGGGCGGCGGTCAGCGAGGCCTGGCTGGAGTGCAGCAGGTCGCCCACGGCCGCCAGGTTGGACACGCTGCTGCTGTTGAGACGGCCGCCCGGCCCATCACCCTGCAGGTCCAGCATGGAGACGCTCTTGTTGACGCTCAGCATCTTCTGCTCCGGCTCCGTGATGTCCGAGCTGCTCGTGCAGTAGGCAGGCGAGGAGCGGGCCAGGGGTGGCCGGCTGACGTAGAACAGGTCTTTGCCCCCGCCCGGCGGGGGTGGCGGTGGCTTCTCCTTGGTGGGGGAGGGCAGGCGAGCCATGTCCATGGAGCTGCAGGGAGGGAAGGAGCCACACGAACAAGAGGTAAGGTCAAGGTCGCGGGCCGCGACGCCTGCTGGGGCACAGTGTGGGCCCCCGCAGGGGAGGGCGGGGATCTGGGGGCGGGGACAGGAAAGATAAGGCCCCTCCAGGAAGGGTAGGAGGTCCAGAGGGAGGGAGGGAAGGAGGGGGGACAGCGAGAGGAGGGATGAGGGGCAGATCGGGGCAGATATGGAAGAGATGTGGGCGCATGGAGGAGAAGAGGGGGGGCAGACAGGAGAGGCGGGGGGGAGGAGAGAGCCCCTCACCTGTTGAGGCCTCGAGCCATGAAGGACTGAAGGTCGATGGAGCTGGAGAGAGATGGAAAGAGGGGCGAGCACAGACAGATAGAAGGAGAGAGGTGGGCAGGAGGCACGGGCGGATGGAAGCAGAGGCGGCGGCGGTGGAATGGGCATCGAGGAGGCAGAGACAGGGTAGAGGAGCAGGCAGGGCGCTCGTCCCGGCAGGGCGCCCCTAGCGGTCAGGTGCGACTTCTATAGTCTGGACGTGGGGAGGCCCGCGGGGGGGCTAGTGGGCTGGGCCGGGGCAGCTTATTTACCGGCTCGCACAGAGCTGCTGGAATGTTTGGACACCACTGGGCTGCTCCCACATGTACTGGCTGAACTCAGCTCTGGCACAGGCATGGGCAGGCAGAGGCATAAATCAGAGTTTGCAGGGGGCCTCCTGAGCTTACAACAAGCCAGAGCTGGAGGGCCCCCGCCGACCGCCCCTGCACCACACTTCTGGGGCTCTGCATTGCTCGAGCACTCTCGGCTTCAAAGTGCCCTGAGTCTATTCGTGGGCAGTAGGTGCCTTTTGAGCGTGTTCTCTGAGGACCTGCCCCCTTTGCCTTCCTCTCAAAGCCCTAGAGGGACGCACGCGTGGAGCCCAGTGATGTGACTCCGGGGCGGGAAATCAGGGGCGCTCCGACGGGTTCTGGGTGTGGGGGCCCCGGTGCACTCACCTGTTGAGGTCCCGCATCATGTAGCCCTGCATCTCGGCTGACGGGCCCCGCAGCACCATCGGCTGAGCCCGGGCCCGCTCGCTCTGGCGGCTTGGCTGCCTTTGGATGTTGGGGTTCCTCAGAGCCGTGCTGATATCATTGAGGAGCCGCGGAAGTGGGCCCAGCTTCAGGAGGGCTTCCTGCAAGGGGGAGGCTTTCAGCTGGGGGCAAGGGGTCTGCATGAGCATAGAGGTGGTGCTGAAAAATGGGAGAAGGGCGGAGTGGGGGGTGGTGTCTGTTCGGGCCAAGGGGCCTGTGGAGACATCAGTGACGGGCCTCCAGGGCCCAGGCTGACCTTGCTGAGCTGGGGCAGCACCTCCCAGAGCAGCGCGTGCAGGGTGGACAGCTCTCGGCCCAAGTCGATGTAGCCCTCGAAGCTGCTGCTGTTGGTCAGCGTGTCCAGGTTGGAGATCTCGTACAGAAACTGCTGCATGGAGCCCCACTCCAGCTCCAGGAACTCGTTCATGAATCCCAGGAAATCCTCCTTTGAGGTAAACCTGGCCGAGGCACCCGGAAGGCAAAGGTCACCCATATCCAAGTCTCAAGGTCTCGGGGGGACTTGGGGGAACCTGCGTGCCACCTCCCTGGCCCTGCTCCCGCCCTGAGGCGTCCCTCACTTGGAAAAGTTGGCCAGGTTCTGGATGACCTTGGCGATGAGGGTGAGGGTGCGGGAGGTCTGCTCATCTGGGTACTCCTGCATGAGCCCAAAGAGACTGGGCGACATAATGGCGGGGCAGAGGAAGCGCAGGAAGAGCGAGGCGCTGATGAGCCGGTCAGCGATGTCCTCCCGGCCCCGCTCTGCGCAGCGCAGCCGCCAAGATGCAAACACCTCCTTCAGCTCCCTCGGGAACACGCTGGGGGGAAGGGGCGGGGAGACAGAGAGAGGAGAGAGAGAGAGAGAGAGACCTGGACTGAGCCCCAGAGACCCTCAGCTTCCAGGGAAGATGCTGAGGGGGGTGGGAGGAAGTGAGAGTGTGGGGACAGGTGAGAGAGACAGGTGGGGGGGAGGGGGGAACGGCAGGAGGAAGACAGAGGCTGCGGGAGGAAGAGGGCGATGGCCGAAGGGACAGACCGATTTGGGAGAAAGAAATGAAGGGGGCCAGGAGGAGCGGGGAAAGAGACACATGGCAGAGAGACGGAGGGTGGTGTGTGAGAGAGACAAGGAGAGGAGGAGAAGAAAAAGAGACACCAGGGAGAGACAGAGATGGGAGAGAGATGGAGGGTCACTTGAGGTACAGGGAGCTCGGACCCCCCAACTCTTTTGGATTCCAGGGAAATGGGGATGGAGGTGCCTGGGCATGATCCCCAGTCCCTGGAGAGGCTCGGAGCCCCTTTCCCCTCCGCCCAGTTCCACCTGGCTGTCCCACTGACACCTTAAACAGCAAAGCAGAGCTTGCACTCGCCCCCATCCTCCAGCTGGCTCCTCCTCCTGACGCCCCCAATTCTGCCCCCATGGCCCCAGGACTCCTTAGTCATACTAGCTCCCCGGGAACTTGATTTCCCCCTTCTAGTGGGTTGGCAACTCCTGTGGATCCTTTCCTCGACAGATCCTTACAACCCCCCCCTTCCCCGTTTCTACTCATCCTGCCACCATCTCGATTCTGCATGTGACACCCACCATGCCAGGTCTTCATTCTCCTGGCTCGGGTCGCCCTTCACCCTCACACTACTGAAGGATTGATCTTACTCATGATCAATGGCTCCGATACCATTCATGATACAGCCCCCCACCCCCAACATCCTCCCGATCAACTGGAACTCAAAGCTGACTTCTGAGGCCTGGGAGATGCCAACTCCGGAATTTCTCATTCAAGACATCTCATTCCCCATTAGGGGAGTTTCTCCCCATTTCCCACACTACGGCCCGTGACTTCCACTAGACTTATCCTCACTGCTGGCTCCTGAGAGTTCTAGACATCTGAAGGGGTCACTGCCTGCCACCTCCACACAGCAGAATCTGATCCAGACTTCAGAGACCAGCAAAGGAGGCGCCTCCTCCAGAAGCCTTCCCTGCTTGGCTCAAGCAAAGCTCTACCTTCTCTGATCTTATCCAAAGACTCTGGGCACCCGACACTGCAAATACTCTGTGGCTTTCAAATGTGTCTAAATCTGGCCCTTCTCCTCAGGACCTATGAGGGCACTGCTGGGGCCCCTCCCTTCTGCTCTCCCGCACCAGACAACATTTGTACTCAGTCCTCTTTGAGGATGGACAGATGGATGAACAGATGAACACAGGACTCCCCTGACACCGACCCCTCCCCCCCGCCCATCCCAGCGTTCCCAGTCTCACCAATGGGAGTTGACCACCTTGCACAGGGCCAACTCACAGCACATTCGCAGGTTGGCCTGGTGCTCTGCCAGACTGGAAGCCGTGCACTTGATGGGATCCACCTCACAGTTCTCCTCCGACTCATACAGAGCACGGATGAACTCCCCTGTGGTGGGCACACAAGGGGGGCTGGTTAGAGCCACAGGCTGCCCGGCTTGAGGGCGTGTCAGAATCAGATGGCTACAGACTGCGGTCAGCATCAAGCCCAGGAAGGGTGAACTTAGTGGGGGAAAGTGGGGAGGAGCGGTTGGGTTTTGGGGGTGCAGTGGCAAGCTCGGGAAGAGGACCCGAGGGCGTGCCATACCAATGGCATCCTTGAGGTATTTCTGACCAATCAGTCTCATGTACTCTTCTATGGCTTTAGTGGCGAGTGTGTTCTCGCGAAATATGAGGTGCTCGCGTTCCATGAACCGGTCCACCTCGGACATGGCCATGTCAGAGAGGAAGTCCTGAGGTGCAGAAAAATCAATCCACAGGTCAATCTCTCAACCAGTCAAACTGGGGAAACAGAAACACCCTCTGCTCCCTGCCCCTTCCAGTCAGCAAGTGCCCACACCCAGGTCACCTTGCCCTCACGGCGCAGCACGTACCTTGGCCTTGCCTGTACTCTGCAGGATGTGAACGAGCGCGCTGGCAACCTCCTCCTTGCCCTTGACATTCAGGGCGGGCTCCAAGACGGCACACAGCATCCGATAGTGGTTGGTGACGTACTCTGCAAACTCTTTATACAGCTCCATGGGCAGGATACTCATGGTCTGGTACCGCGCCTTCAGCCGCACCGCCGGGCAGCCACCTTTGCCCTTGCCCCCAGAGCCACTCCCTGAGCCCCCTCCTCCCCCCGAACCTCCCATCCCCCCGGAGCCCCCACTTCCTGTTGGCAGGGTTACGGGGTACCACTGCTCAGTGAAGTGGCGCCCCGCCAGGGTGGCCACCGGCACAGTCACCAGGCCCACATAGCCCGCCTTGTCCTTCTTGCGCTTTTTGTCTGAGTCACGGTACAGATGCAGCCGCAGGGCACGCACTGCTGGCAGGTTGTTGAACTCAAAGTGCTCGCCCCAGAAGACCGTGTCCCCCGAGGCTGAGCGGGGTTTGGAGGTGGTGCGGGCATACAGCATGTCATCCAGGCACAGCTCACAGTAGTACCGTTTTTTGGGGGGCAGCTCGCGGGCCTCGATGATCCACAGCTTCAACACGTTGTCCACCCGGCGACTGTTGTCCTACCATGGCGAGGCAGGCGTGGTGGACAAAGGGGAAGGGCCAGAGGGACAGACACCAAAAGGGAAGAAACGGTGACAAAAATGAGACCGTCTCTAAGACAGTGATCAGAAGGTGGAGAAGTTGTGGGTTGGGCTGGGTGGGGTCTCCCCTGAATTCCTGTCCACCGAAACCTGGCGGTGCGCCCTGTCTTGAAGAGTAAGCGGGGCTTGTAGCTGTGACCCTACTAGGAGGAGGTCACACAGGGATGGCGCAGGCCCAGCGTGCAGTTGCCCATAGCTCCGTGGCAAAGGCAGTTTGCAGAGCTGACACACACAGTGAGGAGCTGGTCACATGCAGACAGAGGCCGCAACAGGACAGACCCAGCCCCTAAGCAAGGACTACCAAGGCCAGTGGGCCAGCTCAGAAGTTATGGAAGACAGGGGTGAAGGAAGTTGGAGTAGCAGAGAAAGCAAGGCTCTTGATTTAAGACTTTTATTCTCCTGAAGAGCCCAAGAACACATGTCTTTTCTTTGAAGTGAACCAGTCTGTGGTTATGTTATTAGGATAGTCCTAGGAAACGCAGGCAGCGAGTAGTTCATCTGTCAGACTTGGATCGGTATGGGGCATCTTTTGATCTTATTATTTATATAGGTATGTATTGGGGACGAGCCCCTGTGATGCTTCAGGCTAGTGCTGGTTCTGTTATTCAGAAGCAAGCCCTGATGGTGCTCAGGGACCCATATATAGTGTCATGGATCAAAGGATATGGTCACATGAAAGACAAGCACATTAGCCCCCTTATTCTGTCTCAAAGATATATTTTTTAAATAATCCTCTCAAAGATTATATCTTGAGATTTTTTTTTAATTGTTTGCTTTGGGGCCACACCTGGCAGTGCTCAGACTCCTGGCTCTGCACTCAGGAATCCTAGTGTGCTCTGGGGACCATGAGATAGCGGGGATGAAACCTGGGTCTGGTGGCCCTAACCACTGTACTATCATTCTGGCCCCTTGAATTTTTTTTTTTTTGCTTTTTAGGTCACACCCAGAGATGCTCAGGGGTTACTCCTGGCTCTGCACTCAAGAATTACTCCTGGCGGTGCTCGGGGTACCATATGGGATGCTGGGAATCGAACCTGGGTCGGCCGCGTGCAAGGCAAATGCCCTATGCACTGTGCTATCGCTCCAGCCCCTGGATTTCTTTCTTTTTTTTTTTTTTTTTTTTGCTTTTTGGGTCACACCCGGCGATGCACAGGGATTACTCCGGGCTCTTCACTCAGGAATTGCTCCTGGTGGTGCTCAGGGGACCATATGGGATGCTGGGAATTGAACCCCGATCAGCTGCATGCAAGGCAAATGCCCTACCCACCATGCCATCGCTCCAGCCCCCTTGGATTTCTTTTTAAAGCTAGACTGAAAAACTGAAACTATTAAGGGGAGAACTAGAAAGTCCCTCAGAGATAGTAAGTTACATTGAGAAAAAGAATAAAAAGAAAAACACATAATAAGCATAAGCCAGGAAGGATGAGGTTGGAGAGTATAAGAAAGGCCTAGAGTCTAGCCAACCACGGCTCAGGGATCAGGACCATGACGCTGCCCTGTGCTGAAGGGGCCTCTGTCCTGGGCCTGCACAACACTGAATCCAGCATCTTGAGTTTGGTTCTTTAGCTCTGACACAGAGTAAAATGGGGCCTCTCCGTCCCCCGGTAAGACACAGGACCCCTGGAAATGGGGATAATAGAGAGAAGAGCTGACAGAACTGGGAACATCTGTCCTTGGAAACGAAGTCTTGGGAAGAAACAAGCTCCTAGAATTTCTAAGCTAGAGGAACCTTAGAAATTAGTTAGTTCAGCCCCAATCTCAGCAACTGCAGAGAAGAAACGAAGGCCTGGCGCAGTCCCCCTGACTGTTGCATGTGTCCAAGAAAGGAGCTGGGCCATCACCCATTGGGGTATCACTGAGACACTCCTGCCTCCAGGGACAGTGGACAGGCCCTTCTGTCCACCAAGTCTATGATCTCTACGGGAGGGAAGCAGAGCGTAAGGTAGAAAAAAAGAGCAATGAGGAGAAATAAGGGACTCAGAGAAAGATGGGAGTCGCTTCCTCTTCATCCAGGTCCCTTCCACACCCCAAACCACTCCATGCAGCACACTGACCTCACACTGGGTCCCCCACCCCACGTCCCCTGTGTGACCAGCTGAGTTCCCTCTATTCCCAATACCTTGTTGGGTTTTACTGCCCGCTGGAGATTCTCGATCCATTTGTCCCTTTCGGCTGCAGAACGACAGGCAAAACATTTTGTTCCTGATGATGTAGTCACCTAGAAAGGGATGTGTGGCTGAGATGGGGCTCCGGAGCGGAGGGGACCTTCTATTTTGGTCTTTGTTGCCTACAGCCTCTCCACATTCTTGGGGAGTGGGTATTTTGGGCCATACCCAGTAATGCTTACAGGTCATTCCTGGCTCTGTGTTTGGGGTGTCTGGGGATTGAACCCAGGCAGCCATATGCATAGCGTGACCTGCTTATCTCTCCTGCTCCTACCCACATTGCTTTGATTTCTTTTTATTGAGGTAAGTCAGATGGTTTATAATAATGCCAACGGTGATGCTTTAGGTAGACAATGTTATGGCAATACACCCACCACCAAAGTGCCAATATCCCCCACCCCTGAACCTCCACTTTTTCGAATCCCTTCTTCTGGGAAGGAAACCCCACCATCCCTTCCTCCGAGTCCCAGAGGCTTCTGTTCCCCTGGCGTCCCCTCCTGTGTGGCTTTCTCTCTGCTCTTCCTCTCCATCAGCCCTGCCCTCAGCCCTCCTCAGGTACCCAATGGTCTTGGTACCTCAAAACAGAACTCTTGGCCCAAGATAGAGCTGTGTACTGGCTTGATGATGGAATCTTCATCCAAGTTCAGTTCCAAGGCCTCGGCCGCACTGCTCGGACTCAGCAAGGACTCGTGGGAATGTGACTCCTTGAAACTCTGCATCAACCGGGCCCTGGCAGCAGGAGGTTCAGGAGAAAGGGTTCAGGATCCCCAATCTTCTCCAGCACCCAGGGCAAGGCCAGGCAAACCCCCAACCCCTTTCCACATGAACTCAGCCCACCTTAGGAAAGCCGTGTGGAAAGGGAGCAAACCCCCAGTGACATTCCCCAAGGGGGCGGGAAGACTGACACCCAGGAATAGATCATGGCAGAGAAAAAGAAACATAGGCAGAGACACTTCCCAGTGGGACTTCTAGGTACCCCTCCCCCATCCCATTAGAGTCTCAATATAAGGGACAAAAGGGAAATAAAGAGCCAAAAGTTCAAAGAAGATTAGACATTTGTCTGGGCTTCGACACATGGGCTTGAGCCTAAAAACACACTTAATGATTCAGAGAATGAATGAATTTTAGCTGAATCAGTCAAGAGGGTGAGGGGAAAATGTAAGAAAGCTGTGGAGTGAGGATGAAGAGGGGAGGGGACACACACACAGAGGCAGGGGCGAGGGTGGGAGAGACCAGGGAGGCCACGCAAGAGGTCAGCGTGGGAAGAGACCAGAGAGCGGAGCGGGTGAACCACAGTCCATCGTGTGGGGGGAAACCCGGCGGGGCCCAGGCGCGACGGGGTGGGCCGGGGGAGCGGCGGGCCGGGCCGGCGGGCTGAGGAGTAGCGGCAGGAGAGCGGGAGGGGGAGCGCGGGTGTGGGAGCCTCCGTGCGGCTATTTATAGCAGCCCCGTCATTCGGCTCCGTTGCCGTCAGCGCTACGCTCCCCCGGCCCCCCGCCCCCGCGGCCAGGAATACCTTGCCCTCACCCCCCCCACCCCACCGCCGGCCCCAAATCCAGCTCGGATGACACGGGAGGGGGGGCAGGGGAAGGTGTGACTCACCTATCCCAACCTCCCTACCTGCCCAATTCCCGGGGGCGGCCAGACATGGGGGGAAGGAAGGACAGGGTTCTCCCTAGGGAGGATTGGGTGAGGGGGGAAACCCAAGGAGGGACCCCGAGGAGACAATAGCAGGGAAATGGGGCCATCTCCTTCCACCCCAGCCTCACAACAGCCCTCCGCCCTTGCCCCCTCTTGCCAGCACCCAGGATTAACCCTATAGTTCCCCCCACCCCCTCCACTGGTCGGGGTACCAGAGCCAGCCTGACCCTCCTCTCCCTCCCTCACCACCCCCACCAGTCCCTCACTCCCAACCGCTCCAACTCCCCGACTGCCCCCCCCCGCCCCGACCCCCCCAGTGCTGCCTTTCCCCCTCGCGGCCCACAACCCCTTCCCCGATCCCAGAAACACTCCTTGCTCTGGATCCGGTGCTCCAGGTACAGCTCCGGGACTCTGGGCTGAGGTGCCAGGAAGACCCCCTCCTTGGCTTCACCTTCATCCCCTTCCCGGCCCCTCCCGGCACCCAGCACCCTGCCCCTCGCAGGCTGCTTCCTCGGCTCCCTTCTGGCTCCAGAACATTCATTCCTCAGCCAATCGGTGGCCTTCCACCTCTGCCCTCTCGGCCCCCAGCCTGTCCACAGGCAGCTCATCCCACCGCGCCACTCCGGCCGCCCCCTCCCCCCCCAACCTCCCGTACCGGTCATGGTCAGCACTTCGGAAGCGAGGCAGGATCTGGCGAAAGCTGCTGGTCCGGTCAAGTTTGGGTTGAGACTTCGTGCGTTTGATGGAGCTTTTTAGCCTCCGGCTCAGGAAGCCTTGCTGAGGAAGGCAAGGGGGACAGCGGTGGGCTGGGGCACGGGCAGTTCCCGCGAACCACCCTCTGCCGCTGGGGTCCCTGGAGGAAAGTGGGACTGGGAGGAAAGAGAAGACTCTAGAGGCGAGGAGTGGGGGGGCGGAGGGGGGCACAGGATCCCTGCTACCAGTTTGTCTTCCTTTGCTCCCACGGGTGCGAGCGCGCACACACACACAAACACACGCACGCGCGCGCACACACACACACACACACACACCAGCTTGGAGAAGGTGGGAGGGCTGGTCTGAGAAGCAGGGGGGCAGGACCAAAAAGGGGGAAGCAGAGAGGTGGGGAGAACACACACTCACGCTCCATTCTCCCGCCTGCCTGCCCCCTTTCTCGGAATCCTGAGACTCCAGCTGGGGTGCAGGGGAGGGGGCCAGCTGAGCCACATCTGGCAGCGCCTTCACTCACTCACCGAGGGCCGGAAGGGCGCAGCGGGGGCGGCCTCCATGCTGTACTGCTTCCCCCCAGGGACGCTCTTCCTCCTCGAGCGACCCAAATGGTATTCTGGAGGGGAGGAAAGGGGCACAGGGGGAGCTGGGGAGGAGGTCCCTGAGCCCAGCTCTCCACCCCGAGGCCACAGCCCTGTCGCCCACCTCCCCTGACCCCCTCAGCTCCAGCCTCACCTACCCCCCGGAAAGCAGCAAGAAGAACATCGGCGGCGGCCGAAAGGCTGGCGGTGGGAAGGAGGGGGCAAGGAACCTGAGCCGGAGCCCCCAGAAGGGGAGGCGGGGGGAGGCCTTAGGCCCATGACTGGGAACATCAGTCAGCAGATGGGCATGACTGAGAGGGTCGGGAAAACCCCAGGAGTAAAGGACAGGGAAGAGCCACAGAAACCAGGACCTGGCTGCTCCTCCAGCCCAGGAAGGGGGCTAGCTGGGGGGGGGGGGGGGGGTAGTCGGAGTTAAAGGTCACTGCCCTCCAGCAGGCTCTCTCCTTCTCACAGCTGGGCACATCTCCCAAGGTCCACCCGCCTCCAGGAACCTCAGTCTATCTGGCAAACCAGGCTGACCTCCCATGCCCCCCCGCACCCCCCCTCCCCCGGGCTGGAGGGGGATGCCTAGGAAGGGACAGTGCAGGGGGGCAGGGCCCTGGAGTCAGAAACTGCAGGAAGGGATGGCTGGGGGGGGGGGCGGGGAGGGAAGGGGCTCAGCTGGGCTCCATGTACACTGCAGCAGGGAAGGGGGAGGGGAAGAGAAGAATGCAGGGGAATGGGCAGTGGGGGCTCGGGGACTCCCAAGTGCCGGTAGAGAGAGGAAGAGGAGGAGAGGTGAATGGGGATGAGGCTGGGACTGCCAAGAGTCTGGAGCGGTGGCGGCTCGGAGGAAGGAAGCTGAGGTTCAGTTGCCAGAGAATTTCGAGGGGCCGAGGGGCTAGAGGAGAATGCAAGTGGGGGGATGCCAAGCTCCGGCTCCAGCTCCAGAATGGCTGCCCAGGCCTGGGCTCCCCCCTCAGCCCCACAGTCACCACTGCAGCCAATGGGGGGGCAGGTGCTGCATCAGGGGCGGGGCTACCATCTCCAAGGCAACAAGAAGCTACAGGCTGGGGGGGGGAGTGGAGAGAGAACCGGAAGAGCTGCCTGTTAACCCTCTCCTCTCCAGAGCAAGGGAAGGTGTCAGCTACATTCTCATGGGCTGCTTTAACAACTAGGAATAAACCCCAAGTTGTCCTAGAATCAGTCCCCAGCCTCCCTATAGCTCTAAAATCCAAGTATTGGGCCAGAGATACGGCTCAAAGATAAATGTGCATGTCTTCAAGGCATGAAGGAGACCCGGGCACCATCCCCAGCACCACAAGCATAATAAATGGGGAAGACCCAGGTGTTAAGATGGTTCGCATACAAAAATGTGGGTCCCAGACCTAGGAACCCTAATCAGTCCCTCCAGAACATGTGTGGCGCATGGAAACATACACTGATTTGTGGGGGTACGTGTAAACAGGAAGAACAATACAAATATAGATTGGGGTCCTGGTGCTTATGAGACATACAGACAACTCTGAGCACAGGGGCGCTGTGGGTCTACGTTCTGAGACCCTAATGCCCACATATCTGGTAGGATACATGCTTAGACATATGTGAGCACTGCAACAGAGGAGTACAAACTGACCCCTGGCCCCACAGAGCTGCTAGCGTGGATGTGTAGTCTGAGTTCCTTTGGGCAATCACAGGCAGCACATAACAGAGATGGACACTGAACCATGAGACACACACATGGTTCCCCTCCTACACACACACAAGCGCGCACACACACACACACACGAAACCAGTTTCTCCTCTAAGACACATGCTTGAGTCCACCATGATTGTCCGCATCAAGGTATCTCCACAGCCCCGAAGCAAAAACGTCCTTCATTCACAGGAACCTTTATTCACATCCTTCAGTCACAACCATCTCTGCAGAACCTCTTCACCCCAGCCCTTCCTGATGCCAACATGTGCATCTGTGACTGCTAACAGCATGGAGAAAATGCACCTACAATCCTGCTACTCATCCAACAATGCAGATAAGGGCTCAGCCCATCTTCTCTTAATCTCTGCATTGCCCACATAGGGCTGTCTTACTACCATTTCAGGGAACCCAGGTCAGCCATTCTTTTCCTCTGCAAGTTCCCCTAATAGAAACACCAAGTCTAATTTGAAATCTGCCAAAATTTGCTTTGGAACTCAAAGATTCACAGAAGGAGAACAAATTTGCTAATGGGTTCACTCGGTTCTTGCAAGTAATAGAACCTCACACATATTACCAGGAACTAAGATCCAAGAACTCACGCAGAAGTCACAGGTACGCAGAGAACACATTCACATCCGTTTAGGCTCACAGCCGCGAGGCAGAGAACAGCAGACACACACAAGGAGAAGGGGGCAGAGTGACAGGAAGCCAGGCCATGCTGTCATTAGAGCTGCATGCAGGGCCATGCACAGAAAACACAGCACACACCCGTTTCCTCGGGGAGCCAACCTGAGAAGCACACAGCGCGATCCTGGGGCTCCATGTCCCAGCCCTGAATGATGTATACACGCATGCACACACTTAACAGCCACCTACACAGACCCGTAACACAGGCATTGTGCATACACCCACACATGTACACACCCTGTGTACACACACAATTGCGCGCACACACACACACACACACAGAGCAAGTGCTTCGACTCCCACCTCTCTAATCTCGCCATCGCCCACAGCTCTCCCCACTGCCCTCCGATCCCTCCATCTCAATCTCAATCTAACCTCCCCTTTGGTCTGTCTTTCTGGTCACAGCCGGCTGAGCCAGGAGGAGGCTGCCAGGGGAGGATGAGGGAGAGTTGGAGAGCGCTTTTAAGGGGGGGATGGGGGGGGCAACTCTGAGCTGAGGACAGGAATCTCTAATGACAGCTGCAGAAACAGGCTTCACTGTGAACCAGCCACCATGTCTGGGTGACCTCCCCTGATCCCACAGAGCCTGCTTGGCCCAAACTCACTCCTACCGAGCTCCACACCTCACTCAGGTCTCCTCTCAGAGATCACCCAACCCAAAGGTCTGACGCTCGCTGCACCCCCACCCCCACCCCGGACCCCTTCTCCCCCATCTGAAGTTCTTATCTGCTCTTCTCTCTTCGAAATCTGGCTCAACTATCTCTCACATTCCGGTCTCCCAGCTATTCCGTCCCTGGCTCACTCGCGAGCCTCTCCGGCTCCTCCTCTCTCTTCCTCCCTACTTTTCCCTTTACCCACTTTTTTTCCTTCTCAGTTTTTCAGTCCCCCATTGCTGGAGGAGCTGGGGCTCACACCTGCCTAACCCAAAGGTGTTTCCGGGGGCGAGGGGCGCCAAGGCCGCTCCCACCGTCCTCCCTGCCCCCACCTGCCCACCACCCACCACCAGACACGCCCTGGACACCCATGCAGGGGCTGACACAGATACCAGGGCCAGCCACGAAACACACATGCAGACACACACACCTGCCACCAGGGACGCAGAAAATTCTGCTCATGCAGCCACACATCATGCCCACACACAGACTGACAGGACAGGGACATGCATGCACTGGGGGTTGGGGGGACATGCAGTAATATGACCAGGGACAGCCCCATAGGCCGGGGACTGGCCCAGTAGCTCCCAGCCAGGAAGCGGGCAGACAGGATAATACGGGCTGACGGCTGGCTGCTCATGTGTGCATGAGGAACTGGTCCCCCGTACACATGGCATGGACACATAGGGCACACGACCACGGACCGGACACACACGGACACACGGGTTGCCACCTCCGCCGAGGGGCTCCAAGATCACCCCCACCCCGCCGCCCCCGCGAGCTCCCCCACGGAGACTGGCCCCCGACCCCCCACCCCGACCTCCACTGCCCCCCTCCAGTTACCATAACTCCCCCCACTCGGAAGATGCAGCGAGAACATGCGGAGGGAGCAGCTGCTGCCGCCGCCGCCGCCGCCACGGCCTCCCCACCCCCCTCCCCGCGCCCCCGCACACGCGCGCCCCCGTCCCCGTCCCCGCGTCCCCACGCGCGCGCCGCCCCCCCCACGCGCGCGCGCCTCGTCGGCCCGGCCCCGCCCTTACCTCGCGCCGCCCCCCGGGGGGGTCGGGGGTGTCCCGGTGGGGGAGGGGCCCCGCCCCTGCGCGGGGGAGGGGTGGGGTGCGGCGGGAGAGGGGGCGGCGCGGCCCGGCTCGGCTCGCGCCGCCCGGCGCGGTGGGGGCGGCGGCGGGGCCCGGGACGGCCGGGACGGCCGCGCGGTGACGGCCGCGGGAACGGCTCCCTCCGCCGCCGCTCCCGCCGCTGCCGCCGTTGCCCGGGCCCCGCCGCCGTTGCTAGGCGACCGCTGCTGCCGTGGCCGCCTCTGTCACGAGCCCCGTCGCCCGGAGACAGCGCGAGAGAGACGGGGGAGGGGGGCGAGGGGACCCCCAAAACCAACCGGGCCTCCCACCATCCCTCACGGAGCAGGACCCCCCACCAGAGCCCGCGGCGGGAGCGAGGGGCAGCGGCTCCACCCAGCAGAGGAGGAGCCCCGGATTCCGATGCCCCTCGAAGGTCCGGCGACCTCTCCTGGGCTCCGGCGTCCACCGCCTCGGCGCACGCGTTCGCGGACCCAGGATCCCTCGGGCCCCCGCGCGACCTCCATGCGCTTGGCACACCCCGCGCCCCCCGGAGGGCCGCAAACGTGCACCAGCGATCGAGTCTCACTGAGCCCCCCGCCCCCTCCCCAATATATAGCCCTGGATCCCTGCCCCACCCTCACAGAACCCCGGAACATAACCATCTCGGCACCATCATCTTCACGACCACACACAACGGTGCCCCCCAGCAAGCACGCAGGCAACGCATTGCAGAGCCCCCCGACCCCCGGGTCTCGGAGGAAGGAGAAAGATGGGGACTATGTGGGCAGAGACGCCAACCGCCAGACATATGATGAACATGTTTCCCGCGCACGTGACCACTGCACACAGGTATGCACACGTGCACACACACCTTCCCTGGACACGGACATGACTCACACACACACAAATGTGACAGACAGCGCACTTTCTCTGCACACACTACACCACCACCTGGCTTTGCCTGCGACCTGCTACCCACAAAGCCCCGAGGTCAGAGGTTTCCATGACAACGACACAGCCGGACCCACCCGGGCTGGCTGACTGAAGGGAAGGCAGGGAGCACTTGGAGCTGGGCCACAGGCTCTCTGAGGAAGAGGGCCTGGAAGCAGCGATCCCTGAGGGGTCGGGGAGCTAATGGAAGGGGAGGGGTCGGCAGCTGCTGGGGGAGATGGAGGGCCTGGGTCCCTGGGCCTGGCAGGGGAAGACACTGGCCGGGGGCAGTGCCAAGGGGGTTTCTGGGGGCTGAGGGCGGCTCTCTGCACCTTGGCTGCAGATCTCTGTTCTCTGCCTTCATCTCCCCTCACTGTTCCCATGGAAACCTTTTAAGCGAACTTCTCAGGAAGACAAAAATCTTTTTTTAAATGACTAAAGAGGGGGGTGGAGGGGGGGGCAGAAAGCGGGAGGGAGGGGCAGAGACAGATGGAGAGCGGGAGAGAGGTGGAGAGACAGACCGCAGAGATAGCTCTACAGACAGACTGAAAGGCGAAGAGATGGGGGGTCTGATGGTGGTCCACGGGGGGCCAGAGGGGAGCAGGGAGAAAACAAGAGAACTGGGGAGGGGCAAAGCAAGGGGGTGGCAGAATTGCAGGAAATAGCAGCAGTCAGTAAGAGGGAGAAGAGGGGCAAGAAGAGAGGAAGGGCCCAGGGCCCGAGGTCTGCAAAAGAAGACTCAGGAGCGTGCGGGTGGGGCCGAGGTCTGGCGGGGAGGGCAGGAACTAGGTCATTCGCGCCCAAATCCCAGACCCGGGCCGGGAGGGGCAGGGACGGGCACCCTCGGACAGGAAGCTACAGATCTAAGCAGACTATTTTTGCAAGCACCCGGGAAACGGTCAAACTTCGCTGCTGGAGAAGAGGGGGAGGGGGGAGCGAAATAGAGCAAGGACCACCCCCCCCGCCCCCACCCCAGCCTTCGCCACCGCGCGCAGCCCGGAGGAGGGCGCCTCGCCTGCTCCGCCCCGGCTCCCACTCTTAGGAAGTGAGACTCGGTCTCCGCCCCCACCCCGGCGGCTCGGTCGCCCTGCGGTCCCTCCTGCCCGCCCGCCACTGTCCGGGGCACGAGCCGGCTCGGCCGCCGTACCATGCTCGCCGTGGGGCCGCCCCTCCACCGGCACGGAGACTGTGCGTCTCAGCAGTTTGTTGCGGCTGGACTCGCTCCTCCGGTCCCGGATCAGAAGGGGGTGTATCTAGGGGATGGGGGGGGCGGGTGTCAGACCTCCCGGGCCCACCGAGGGAGGCTGCACCAGCGGCCCGCCCACCTCGGCCGACCCCTGGGTCATTCCTCTTTCCCTTGCTCCCCGAGTTTCTCTCCTTCCTGCCTTCCCGTCTCCTCCCCCTACCCCCCACCCCCGCCCACCGCCCCCTTCCTCTCCTCCCCAGGCCTTCCTCCACGGGTTTGGAAACACCTGGAGCAATTTCTCCCGAACCTCAGCCCTTCCTCTCTCTCTCCTCGCTATCCTGGGGAGGGGGCTTCACTCCCAGCATCCACTTTCCCCTTGCCCTTCAGTTCCTCCAGCCCCCCCTTTCCTCCCACCCGCCCACCTCCCTCACCCCCTTCCCTCCCTCCCTGCTTGTCACGGGGGTAGCAGAAGCTGCATTTATAATCAAAATCCACAGCTTGTCTCCCTCCCACAGCCCGGCTTGCGGCCAGACTGGGACCCAACCTCCCCGCCCCCCACCCAGGGCCTGGTCACCTCCCCCCACCTCTCCACGTCTCCCATGGTCCCCACTTAATCTCTCACTTCCCCTCTTCTCTTTAACCATCGCCCCCTCCCCTTAAGCTTCTTCCTCAAAGGCCCCCTCTCCAATTGCCCACACCTCTCCAATCTCCTCCACCGCTACAGGACACCCCCCACCCCCAGTCCCTAGTCCCAGTTCCTTAGCCCATTCAGTTTCAATGCCACCCCCAACTCCCACTGCTCAGGTTGTTTCCCCCCAATTCCACCCACCTCCCCATCCCTCACTTTTTCCACCCGGGATTCTGGCCGTTCCCAGAGCCCCTCAGCTTTGCTGGCCACTGGGCCAGGCCCCTGCCTCCGTTCACCGCCTTCCCTCTTCCTCCACGCACGACCTCCCATTCTTCTTGGTTCCCCCATTTTTCCTGTAGGAGGCCCGACCCTTGGGTAAGGTCTGTGACCGCTTGTAAGCCACTCAAATGTTCCCAGCGCCCCAAACTCAGACTCCCAAAACACTCTGCCCTCAGACCCCTGGCCTGAGGACAATGTTTCCGCTCTGATCCACATCCTCCACTTGACCCTGTGACCTGGAAGTTCTCAACCCACCATCTCACCACACATTTACTTGCTCCTGGGTCCCTGGGGGACCCCAACTCTACTTTCAGCCCTGCTCCCCACACATTCCCCAAAAGCTTTGGGGTACACCTTTCACCCCCTGTGAGAGGTTATCATTCTCTAGAGCTGGTCCCCCAAACTGCCCCACTGCCTGAATCTCACCTTGAGACATCCCCCATCCTATTTTTTTGCCTGCCCCCCCCCACACAGACACCACCCCCACCCCCTGCCTCTGAACTCCACGGTCACCTTCCGCCCATTTCATCTCCAATCAGGCTCATCATTGCCTCTTCCCCAACTCTTCCTCCCCTGGGACAAAGTTCCCCACTCTCAGCTCCCTTCAGCCCAGCCAGGCATCTCCTCTGAATATCCAGTCAGTGCCCGGGGAAGCCCTCAGTGTCCCTGAAACTGGCACCTCCCAGTCTGGTCTTCTCTGCCATCCACACCAACCCCGCTGCCATCATCTCCCAGAAACCTTCAGGTTCCTCTTCCTCTCCCAAAGTGCTCGCTTTCCCCTGCTTTATCTCAGGATCCCACCCTCCAGGTGCTCGGCTCCATGAGCGGGAAAGGCCTCTTGCTCAGTTGGGGGAAAAGGAAGAGATTCCCCAGGGTGACTTTGGCGGGGACCCTTCACAATAATTCCTATTTCTTCACCCTTTCTCCCAGCCTCCCATTTCCCTTTCACATTCTCCCTTATCCCACAAGAAGGGCAGGTGAAGCCAGGGGACATCCCCAGATCTCAAGAAACCGCCATCTCCCCAACACTTCCTGTGGCCCTCAGTCCCCTGGCCCAGAGAGAGTGCCCGCCCCTTTGGTCCCAGCCCAGCCCAGCGGCCAGCCTTCTCCACTGCTTACAGATATGTCTCTGTGCCTTCTCTGTGTCTCCCCTCTTCACTCCTGAGGACTTGTCCCCATCTTCCAGTGCACATTTTGCCCACATTACCCAGAGGTCTTTCCCAACCTTCACACCCCGCTCACCTCGTCCTCATCCAGCATGAGAAGCTGGTTCCCCGAGATGATGCAGAACCGAGGGTTCCAACCAGGACGATCATATGGGGAATGAACGTATTGGGTTCGGTGCATAGGGGGTCCCCGTACATCTGGGGGACAGAGACACACAGAAATGGTAAGGGAGGCTCTCTGCATTTGGGAGACAGAGACCTAGAACAACAAGAGCCCACAAACGTGGGAGAAGGAGACCCCACCCGCCTGGAGGAGGTCACACGAGGAGGTGAGGCCCCTGGAAACGCTTAAAGAAGAGAAGAAGAGCCTCTCTGTCTGTGGGGAAAGAGGAGAGGGGACCACATCACAAGGGACTCCGCAGATTGCGGGGGAAGGAATACAGAAGGGTGGCACAGGAATTGTAGAGCATGACAGGGCACAAGCTGAGGGTCAGAAATGAGGAAGGAATATTCTCCATCCATCCACTTGGGAGAAATCAAAAAGCAAACTTGGCAGGTGAACAGAGATGGATGGTAGGTGTGGAGGGAACGGGAAGGCACCCCAAATAACCGCAGAAGACAAGAACTTGGGAGGCGGCCCCACCCAGCTGCAAAGGAAAGTTCCACAGCTGGAGGAAGCAGGAAGAGGTTGAGATATAGAAACAGGTGGGGCAAGAGCTTCTGATAGCTAGACAACGGGAAGGGAGAGGGAGTGGAGCCTTGCGCCTATTCAGAGCCAACCACTAGAGCCTCCACTTCCTGCTTCTCTGCCAATCTCGACACCCACCCACCCCCAGTCACCCTCAGCCCACAACCCCCTTAGCCCAATCCTGCTTAACCTATGGGGAAAGTTCGGATCCTCCTAGTAGAAGGAGGAAAATGGACCTGTCAGCGTGTGGCTATAGGAGCCCAGAGTGAGGAGGGAGGAAACAAGCCCTGGTTTGAATGATTAGAAATGGAATTGATCTCTTCGCCGCCATCCATGCCCAGAGATGAAAGATTCCACACTGCCATCCATGCCCGCTTCCCTCCCAGTCTCCATGGGCTGGAGGGACGCACATGCCACAGAACCGTCACCTCACCAAGGCACTCGAAGAGGGAAAATGGAAGAATGGAAAATCTAGGTCTGTGACCGAAGCGGGCCTTCAAAGACTAGAGGTGGGGCTGGGCCAAAATTTCCCCAGGAATTTTGAAGAAGGGATGGGGAGCGAGAGGACAGCAGGTAGGGTGCTTGCTTTGCACTCACCGACTCAGGCTAGATCCCCGGCATCCCATAAGGCCACTGGAGTACCACCAGGAGGAAGCTCTGAGTGCAGAGCCAGGAGTAACCCCTAGCATTGCTGGAGTTACCCACCTCCCCCCCAAAAAATTCCAGAAGAAAGAGCAAATCGAAAAAGAGGGTAAACCAAAGCAGGTCCATGTTCCTCAATGTCCACCACCCCCAGGACCCTCTTCCCCAACTTTGATGTTCTTCCCATGCCGCCAACCCTGCAAACACATTCTCTCCTTTAAACCCCAATGCCACACACCACAGTGCAGAAGACCTTCAGAAAAAAACGCAAAATCAGATTGATGGCATCAAAATGACAGAAATTAGTCTTCAGGTAACAGCAAGTTGAGAGGAAGACAAAATCTGAAATCTTTACAGAATAAAACACAGCTATCTTGCAGGGCTAGTTCTGGCCTTTTGGCTTCATTCCAACTGAATGCTGTAATTTTGAGAATTTTATATATATGTATGTATAAAAACAACCTTCACCTCTTTTTGTCTATAAGCATATCCAAACGGATCCAAACTTGCAGATCAGAGTCAGAAAACTCCCAGAAAACAGATACAGAGAAACCCCAGTCCTTTAAAACTATCTCTAGGCCATCCCAGAGACAATCCAACACCCTTTAGAAAGTAATCACCACTGCCAAGGCTCCGAGACTGCAGACGCTGCAGGCTACAAGCCCACCGCATTCAGGCTCCAAGGACCCCCAGAGGAGAAATCTGTTGACACACATAACCATTATGGAAAGGGAAGGGGAGGGGAGCTCAGGCTACAGGCACGGGAGGCAGGTTAGAGTCTGGAGGGGAAGGACACAGGGAACTCAGCTTCTGAATAACTCTGGAGAAACACAGACACAGACACACACACACACACACACACACACGAGTCTAGACTTAAGTAAGAATGATTCTGGGAAACAGATGTAAGAGACTGAGGAACACAGCTGAGAAGGGAAAAAGATTTACTAGGATGAGAAATCTCACAGGGCTCAGTTGGGGATCTCCTATAGGCCCTGTTCCAGCCATCATGCCTGTGTCTTGGCACCCCAATCTCCAACACCCCGGGAAGGAGGGAAAAACAAAAAAGAATGAGTGATAAGAGTTGGGTTATTAAAGGAAAGTGGGTAGGCACAGACTTGTGACAAGATAGGGAACGGGGCAGACAGGAAAGGTTGGGCTGGGGGACAGGTAACAGGGAGGGATCCAAGAGCAAAGGAAGCAGAAATGATGGTAAATTCCCAGGGACCAGGGAATCCACCGGAAGGGCCCAACTGGACACGGGGCACAAGAAATGAGGTGGCCCTAACGGAGACTAGAACAAAGGGGTCATCAAGAAAGACGGGGTAGAGAAGGGGTAGACATAGAAGGCCCTAGCAGAGAGAGGACAGGGAGAGGATGGTCAGCAGGGGAGTGCTCTGGGGGAAGGACAGGAGGGGGACGCATATAAGGAACGGACACCATATGGGGGGAAAGATATAGGTGATGGACACCAGAGGAGGGAGGGGGAATGGAAATAAGGATTAGAGGAGGGGGAGGGGTTAAAAGTGAAGAAGTGAAAGGAGTAGCTGAGACCCCAGGGGTTACATTTCTGCTGGGAGGGGGGTCTCAAAGGGGGTTAGAGTCCAGGGCAGGGTTCTCACCTGCACCTGGTCCCACTCAGTCTTACTTGCATCGCCCTCCCCACCCCCACCAAACACACACAATTTGGCCCTCCTCTGCCCTGGTCTCTCCTCCCCCAACCCATTCCTCTCTCTCTTCTCTTCCCTCCATCTGGACCCTCCAGTCCCACAGCCCCCCCCACTGCCTCCCTCTCTCTCCATCTGGCCCCTTCTTCTCTCCCTCCATCCTCCTCTTTCTCTCCCCCCTGCCCTCCTCGGAGCCCCCTGCCAGAGTCTTCCCCTCATCATCTCGCTGGCTTCTCTTTGCACCCCTGTGTTTTCATCCCCCCTCTCAGCTCCTTTCCTGACACTCAATCCTGCTTCCTTGATATTTTCTTCATCTCAGCTCCCACATCCAAATGATTCCTGCAGCTCTTCCCCCAAGCCCGTGCTATCTTCCCACCCTTGCTGGCGATCTCCTTCCCCTTCATCGTTTCCCTCTCAACGCCCCCTGTCCAGGCCTGCTTCCTGGTCCCTCCGACCCTCATCGCTCCCTACCCTCTGGCTTTTAATCCCTCCTTTCCCACTGCTCCTCTCTCCCTGCCTTCCCGGTCCTCCTCTCTCCCTCCATTTCAGCTGCTCCCCTCCCTGGCCCCAGTTCTGCCCCCCTGCCCCCGCCCCTCCCCCGTGCCCCCCCTCTGGCCCTTCCCCTCCCCTCACCACCGTACCTCTGAAGGGGGCATAGGACATCGCGGGGATGCTCCCCCGATGGATGGAGGCGCGAGACCTGCTCATCAGGCCTGGGGGGGAGGGGGCGGGGGGGCCGAGGGAGAAAGAAGAGAGAAAGAGGGGGAGAGAGAGGGGGAGAAGGAGGAGGAGGTGGAGGAGGAGGAGGAGAGAGGAGGAGAGAGGAGCGGAGAGGAGCAGAGAGGAGGAGAGAGGAGGAGGAGGAGGAGAATAGGAGCCAACGGCAGCAACGGCAGCCGGGAGAGAGAGAGGGGGGCGGGGGAGCGAGCGAGAGAGGAGAGAGCAGGAGGAGGAGGAGGAGGAGAGAGAGAGAGAAAGAGAGAGAGAGATTCTGCAGCCCCCACCCCTACTCCGTGAGAATCCGGGCAAGCGACCCTGACTCCAACTCCCCCGAGAAAGAAAGAGATCAAGAGAGCAGTGGTTCTAAAGACGGGGATCCCAGACCCTGGGGCAGAGAGACCCCAGACCCACAAAGATTCCTTTGCCCCCGCCCACAAGAAGGTTAATCTGAGACAGAAACTCAAAATGTAGAGGATAAGAGACCCCCTCAATTTCAGGATGACACCCCCAGCCCCTCGAGGGGTCAAAGGTTCTTGTGTGAATGCCCAGGTTCCAAAAGACTCTCCATCACCCCAGAATCATCCAGTCCAGACTCCAGGGTGACTCTGGCACATCAAACCTGAGCCCCCCCACTTAATAAAAAGGGGAGGGGGGGTCCCAGCTTCCCAAAGACGCCAAGCTGAGAGCTCTCAGAGAAATCACACTGGAGAGGGACTAGAGACCCCAGACTCTGAGCTCAGGGGGGAGAAACTTCCCGTTGGGGCAGGGAGTGAAGAGAGAGACCCACTCCCTCTGGAGCTGGAGACCTCAACGCCCCCAAACTCTCAGAGGAGTTTGAATGGCCGCAGAGCGTGACCCCAGAAACACAGGGCCCTCCCACCACCACACCTGAGAGGAAACTCGGTCCTCAGAAGGGAGAGCCCAGAGTCTTACAGGCAGACCCCTCCCCACACACCCACCCACCCACCTACAGGCAGAGATCTTGGGAGCCCTCAGCCCAGCAGAGCAGCCCGCCCACACGGGGGACCCCAGACTCTGAAGGCAGGGGAGGGGCTGTGGCAAGAGCCGTTGTTCCCTCCGTCGCCTCCGCCCACCTCTCTCTCCTTAGTGGCCCCTCTTTCCATTTTTGGGTCACAGGAAGTGCTTGGGCTCCTGGGAGGTTATGTAGGGCAGGTCCTGGCACTACAGGGGGGTGGGGCAAGGGAAGAGACCCCTGTCTGAGGGGTCGAGCTGACTTGGAGAGGGACATCGGATGGACATGAGGGACACAAGCACCTGGCGATCTCTCCCCGTCCCCAGCCTGCTGCCCTCCTCTCTCTCTTCCCCTGAGGGGCTTCAGTAAGGACGTGTGAGGTGCCCTCAGTCCCGCTAGCATCGCCGTCGGACCCGTACAGGGAAGCCCCTGCTCATCTCTCCTCACCTGCGAGCATCTGCTCTGGCCCGCGCCTGCCCACTCACTCCCCCTACCCAGGGACAGCTGGCTGCTCAGATTATCCCTGTTCCTTCCTCAGCCCAGGCATCTGTCAGTCCCAACCAAAATGGCAGGGGGCGCTCTCCTCGCCCCCCGAGGTCCGAGCTCCTCGGGCCCTCCCCGCCGTACAGGCCCTCGGGAGCAGTGCAGGGGCTGTTACTAGGCACACTCTGGGGTCTGAAGGGGACTCGCAACTCCGCCACCTGACGCATCAAGTCTGCAGGGGTCTCCAGCCCCCGCCCCCCTCGGAGAGCCCAGAGCTCCCGTCACGTGGCCTGCGGGCCCGGCCTGCGATTGGTCGCTGCCCGTCGCTCATTGAGCTACAGCCGCCAGGGGAGGGCCGGCCCCCTCACGTGACCGTAGAACCTCCGCAGCGCCTCTGCTCAGCCTCCTATTGGCTCTTTTCGGTTTACACGGAAACGGGCGTGTCATTTCCTTGCATGGTTGCAGATCCGGCTGCCGATTGGTCACATTCTCCCCCGCTCCGCCCCCCGTGAGGAGGCGGGGCAAACCGGCCACGTGAGAGCCAGGATTGGCTGGCTCGGGAGGCTGGGGGGGGCTCTGCTGTCACGTGGTGTGCGCCGGCTTCTATCACGTGGTTGCTGCCCAGGTAAGAAGAGGCCTCTCTGCCTGGGCCGGGGGGCCTTTGTCCGCGTTCCTTGTGGCATTAGAGCGTCTACCCTCCTCACCCACCCTAGGCTGCATGAGGGTGGGACGGGCTTCCGCAGTCCTGCTCAGCGGAGGGGTGAGTGGCCGGCCCCGCCCCTTCCGGTCCTCGAAGCCTCGGCCGCTACCCGTACCCCAAGTCCCACAAGGTGGCCCCCGAGGAGGGCGTGCAAACCTAGTCACTGCTGCAGTTTTCCAAGCCCCTCCCGACCGTCAGGGATGCTTTCCTTCCGGGTGTGGAAGAGGGAGGGTCCCGGGTCCCAGCGAAGGCTTCCCGGGGTGCAGTTTCCTGGGGCCTCTGTAGAGACATCGAATTCACCTGCTCTCAGGCCGCCCTGCTCCTGTCGCTTCTTTGGATGCCGACGCTGCTGCCTGTGGCCTCTCGCCTTTTATTGCTACCCCGAGCCTGGCTGTCCATGGCTTCTGGAAGCCCGCCGGCCCCGCCCACTTCGTCCTCCAGCTATGTGCCCGGCTCGGTCTCTGCAGCCTTTGTCACCTGCCCCAATGAGAAGGTCGCCAAGGAGATCGCCAGGTGGGGAGCGCAGAGGGAGAGGATGATGGAGGAGCTCGAGTAGGGCCGGACGCCGCGCCCTTCCCCGACTTGCTGTCCGTCCTCCCTGCTTTGGAAACCCGTGTCTGGGTGGCCCGTGCAAAAGTTGTGTCGTGGGGCTCTGACGGGGACCATCTCTTCACCTCCAGGGCTGTGGTGGAGAAGCGCCTCGCAGCCTGCGTCAACCTCATTCCTCAGATTACATCCATGTGAGTCATGAGAGATGGGCTTACCCTAACAGGCCAGGGCCGACTGGTGCCTGTTTTCTGGGGGGAGAATCTGCCCTTACATCACACTCTCCCTCACCTTTTCAGCTATGAGTGGAAGGGGAAGATCGAGGAAGACAGTGAGGTGCTGATGGTGAGAACGTCCCACCCCCAACAAAACCTATCCCTGCACCCCTCTGTCCCCAGTGTGGCCCCCTCAACTGACAGCAAGAGCCAACCATGTTTCTCACCCCCCCCCCCTTAGATGATTAAAACCCAAAGTTCGTTGGTTCCAGCTTTGACAGATTTTGTTCGGTAAGAACTCTGGTGGAGGGGAGGGGAGTGTGCTGTGGGGTGGAACTTGCTGGACAGGCTGAAGGGGCCGGGGCTTCTGGCTAGTGCGCACCCATCCCCCACTCCCCCATCCTTTTCAGTTCTGTGCACCCTTATGAAGTGGCTGAGGTGATCGCGCTGCCCGTGGAGCAGGGGAACGCGCCGTACCTGCACTGGGTGCGCCAGGTGACAGAGTCGGTGACTGACTCTGGCACGGCCCAACCATGATCAGGAGATCCTATCAGCCCCCCTCCTACTTCCATGCCCTTGCCTTCTCCCAGTCTCTAATAAATGGCTTTCTTTGATTTTCTGTCTCCTGCCTTTCTCATCATCACCGACGTGCATTTGGCTGACACGTAAAGAGACGTGCTTCTTGTCCCTGCGTTCTCGTCTTTCAGAAGGACTCGGCACAGTCCGATTTGTTGATTTCTCTTTATTTCAATCATACAGAGTCTGGGATCTTTGATCAGCTCCTCCCCTCCCTCCCTCCTCCGTCTTTCGAATTCAGGGGTTAAATAATTTTAAAAAATATTTAAAAAGTTGTAACAAAATAACATCAAAGGAAATGAGAAAGGGGGTGGGGAGGGGTCAGGAATCAAGAGGGGAGCAGAGAAGAGGCCTCTTCCCCAGCCCCCCTCCTGGATTCCAGCCTGGGCAGTAGGGAGAACTACTCCCCAGGTACATCCCAGCTGCAGGTGAGGTCAGAGGTCAGGGAATTGAAAGTGCCAGTGTGTGAATGGGGAAGTGGGCAGAGGCAGGCTGCTCAGAAGATGCCCCCACCTCCCCACTCAACCAGGTACTGCACAGAGCCATCGGGCCGCACTCTCCGAGCCAGGACGCGGACGGGGTCCCCGCGGGACAGGTAGCCAACCCCACCTCGGACTCCTCCCGCAGCCCCAGCAGACAGACCACGGCACAGGGGAGAAGAAGGTGCCGAGCGTCGGGGAAGACTTGGGGAGGGGGCCGGGGCTGAGGAAGATGAGGCAGTCATCGAGTGAGGGGGGGCACTCTTGGGGACATCTGTGGGGAAACCAATGTGAAGTTCCAGGGGTGACCTAGGCAGAGAAGGTGAGTTATGAGTCTGGGCGTAGAGAAGGGGAGAAAGGAGATCACAGCAGATCAGAGGAACCAGAGAGAGAGAGAGAGAACACTAGCTTAACGGTGTGACAGGCAAACGGGTAGACTCACCTGTCTGGGGGTTCACCATCCCCAGAGGTCCCTGCGGTGCTGGCAGAGGGGTGGAAGGAAGCGAACATCCGGATGGGACTGCTGTGGTGAGAAGGGGAAGAGTCAGGACCTCAGGCAGGGGAGGCAAATCCCCTCCTCCAGAGAAGGCAGCGTTTAGATACCACCCACCTCTCCAGAGTATTGGCAACCAGATCGTGGTTCTATTTTTTTTTTTTTTTTTTTTTTGCTTTTTGGGTCACACCTGGCGATGCTCAAGGGTCACTCCTGGCAGTGCTCAAGGGACCATATGGGATGCTGGGAATCGAACCCGGGTCGGCCGCGTGGAAGGCAGACGCCCTACCCGCTGTGCTATCGCTCCAGCCCCGTGGCCCTATTTTTCCTTTGTTTGGTTTTGTTTTGGGGGGCACACCCAGAGGTGCTCGGGGCTTCCTCCTGGCTCTGTGCTCAGGAATCATTCCAGGCGGCTCAGGGGAATAATAGAGGGTGGCGGGGACCAAACCAGTGTGTTGGCTGCGTGCAAGGCACGAGCCTTCCGCACTCTCTCTCCAGCCCCCAGAGACGTGGTTCTAGAAGTCCCCGGAGAACAGAATTGGGTAGCCCGGGAGGAGGGAGCAAAGCATCCTGGGATGGAGCGGACCGAGGGGGGATTTCACAGAGGGCCATGCGGTCGTCGGAGGCGGAGGCACACTGACCTGGGCAGGCAGCGGGCATCTGTGGGCCGGAAGTTGTAGCCGCTGCTGCCCTGGTAACTCTGGTTAGGGCTGGGGGATGGCGGCGACGCCGAGGCCTAGAAGACTGGACGATGAGAAAGAGCCCCCGACTCCTTCCGCCCACCAGCGGCCTCTGGGGTGCCCCCCTAACCTGCAGTGCCCTCTGCAGACGAGCCCGCTCCCGCTGCTCCTGGGGCTCGGGCCGATGGCGCGCTGCTGACGGTGGCTCCTGCGCCTCCATTTTCCCCTTCTGCTTCCTCCTCAGGGGCTCTGGCTCCGGCCTCCGACGCTTCCCCAGGGGACGTGAGACCCCTCCCCCAGGGCCCTGCCCTGAAGGGAAGCTGTAAGAGGCCTCCTTATCCCCCCAGCCCCCTCCCGGTTACCCCCAAAGACCGCCCACACACCCCAGATAAATACCCTGGGAAATTCCCCACCCCCCCTGGACCAGTGACCTGGTGGGGGCTCCATCTCCAGGAGGAGGCTCCACGGGGGGCGGGGTCCGCGCATGGAGACCAAACAGGCATTTCCTCTTCTTAATCTCCCTCCCTGAAATGAAACTGGGGTGAGGGGAGACATGATACACGTCAGTGCTGTGGGCCTGGGCCCCTCTCCCGCCACCACTTCAGCCTCTTCAGAGCCCTTCTTCCCAGCGGCCACCTTCGCTCCTGCCCTTCCTCCCTCCAGCTCACCGGTCTTTGTGGCTGTTGAGCGCAGTGAGGAGCTTAGAAGAACGTTCTCCCTTGGGGGTGTCTGAGAGCTGCGGGCAGGAAAGGGAAATGCGGTTAAGGGAGCACTGACCCCCCACCTCCCCCTATTTCCTTCTCCCCGTATTATCCTGGAACCCCCAAAGCTTCCCTCCCCTTACCTCCCCAAGGAGCAGGCTGTCCCAATTCTCAGAGGTGAATGGGAGGATCTCGCGGTCAAAATCAAAGTATTTCTTCTTACAGCAAACACTGAGGTGATAGAGGACGAGATGGGCCACGTCCACCCTGGAAAAACAAGTTGTCAAGGTCCCAGGAAGCTTTGCAAAAGTTCCAGGAGTCCCTAGGAGGGAGGCTGGGGATGCCTGGGGGTGCTCTGCTGAGGAGGGGGGGTCCCACCCAGCTCACCAGCGAAGCTGCAGCCTCCTGACCTTCTCTGGGCCGCCCCGACACACGCAGCATTCAAATTCATAGAACCTGGAAGTGGACAAGAGGGGAGGACACACCTTACCAGGGGAGAGAGCATCAGTCCACGGGGCAGAGAGGAAAGCCCAAGCTTCCGAGGGTGGGAGGGGTGGAAGACGGACAGGAACAAGGGGGTCAGGAAGTGCAGCTCCGGGGGTGTCTGCGCTGGTGGTCTCACCTGTCCCCATAGAGCAGGGGTTTGCTCAGACACTGGGTGCAGGCCTCATGGAACCACTGCAGGCAGCTCTGGCACTGCAGCATCTTCAAGTTCCACCTGGGAGTCAACACACACCTGTGGCCTCTGATACTTTCCCCGCTGAGCTGCCCAGACCCTGCTGATCCCCACGCCCCTCGGCCACCTTGGCGCCCTGGAATTCCCACACTCCGGCCCCTCGCCCGAGCTCCTCATTACTCACTCCCCGGGTCCACCGCAGTAGCAGTAGCTCTGCTGCCGGTTGCTCAGATGTCCTGCGTCCCAGTCCAGCCCCTTCAGTCCGTACGGCAGAGATAGCTTCATGCTCAGCATGGCCCGGGCATAGGGGCCCTTCTTCAGCGCACCCCCCCTCTGCACAGACAGAGCAGGCAGGAGCCTCAGGGGGGTGGGGGAGGAAAAGCTGGGGGCAGGCTTTCAGGGGGATGCTCCCACGCACGGGTTTACCTTGGTGGCGATGGCAAAGACGCACTGGCGGCAGACCCAAGCCGCACCTTCTCCCTCTCCAGGGCCCGGGGCCCTTGGCACATGGCAGTCCTGGTGATAAGCTGAATAACGACAGTTCTGAGTGCCCACGATGGCATGGCATACCTGTGTGTGCTAGGGGGCAGGGGCCACTTCCCCATCTCACTGCACCCTGGCCCTGGGTCCTTTGGGGGAGGTGACCCGACTCTTATTGAAAGGTGACGGGACTGGAGCTCAGAGGGCTGGGGACCTGCCCAGGACATGGGGCTCAATCGTCGTAGGGTCCCCGCATCCCTCTTCAGTGGTCGCCTCGCCCTGTGCTGGCAGAAGTGTGGCTACAGTGACGAGACTGGCCCGAGCAGGGTTTCGGGGACTCTGGCCAGGGGTGGTGGCACCAAGACCAACATGGGAGGGAAAGACCAGCTGGTCCATTCAGGTGTCCAGCCCGCTCACCATGGCGACACTTGTCACAGCTGACCAGCCGGTTCCCAGGGCCCACGGTCTCGGAGCGGCAGACACAACAGAGGAGCTCCTCCCCGGGTAGGGCAGCTGTGAGGGGACACAGGATCAGGGGGGCTGTCCCTCATCCTCCACCCCACACCGGGTTAGTCTCCCAGGAGATGCCCGACCTCAGGCCCCTGGGGTCTCACCGGGGCTAATGTCTTTCCAGAGAACCAGAAACTGGGAGTCATCCTCAAACTGGACCAGACACACCTCCCGGGCACTGTCCACCTGGAATGGGTGAACGGAAAAGCTGTTTCAGGAGCCGGAGCCAGAGGAGAGGAGTGGGCAAAGGTGACAGGTCAGAGGTCTCACCTTCTTGATGGTGCCCAGATACAGCAGCCCATCTGTCCATCGAGCCAGCACATCCTGACCCTCCCAAAGGCGAGGTCTGGCGCCTGGCGTGGGCGCGGGGGAAGCTGGATCCCAAAGTGAGGGGGCACCGGAGCGGCTCAGCCGGGGGGGCTGTGCCATTGCATCCTGGGGGGGCCTGGCCAGAAATGGGTGGGGAGAAGGTTATCAATGCTGAGAAAACATCCCAGTGCAGCTACATCCCAGCCACCAAATCCCCGAGATCCCCGAAGAGGAAGCCACTTGGCACCCCTCAGAAGCTTCGAGGCTCCAGCACTTGGGCTGGGATGACTGGCTTTGCCACCCCTAAATCCTTTCCCCAACCTGGCTCTCTGGCTGCCAGCTTCCCGTGCTCCCCTGGGATCCCCTGGCCTGGCCTTGGGCTGTCAGCAGCCGCGATGGTCGTGGGAGCAAAGGTCGCCCCTCCTCTCTACGCTCACCCTCTGCTACCTATTACGGGGACCGTAATTGGGGTGTTCCGTTATCCAGAGCCGTGTTTGGGGAGCTGTTCGGGAAATGTTTTCCGGAGTAGACAGGGCTGCCTTCCGGCCCGCGTGGCTCATTCAGAGCAATTACCCCGGTGCAGGTTATGTCAGGTCACCCTCAAATTCGGGGCTCCCGGTCCCCGCGTTAGATAACTTCCCTGAGTGCCCCGGGAGGGGGGCGTGTCCCAGTCCCGGTCTCCACTCCCCACGACGGCGGCGAGTCCGAGCGGGGACGCGAGTGGACCCAGCCCGCTGCCAGGGCGCCCCGGCGCTCGCGCCCGCGCCCTGCGTGCCGACCCCCGGCTCCCTGCCCCCCCCCCCACGGGCGCCTCCCGCCGCCTCCTTACCAGTGACAGCTGGGGCCGCCCGGAGCTGGGCGCGGGCAGACGTGCGAGGCCGAGGCGAGCCCCCCGCGCGCAGGGAAGGCACGTCTGGGCGTCCGGGGGGGTGTGCGGGCAGAGGCCGGGGGGTCCCCAGGCCCAGCCCCTCCGTCCCGGCGGCTCTGGGGCGTATGACGCAGCAGCCAAAGCAGCAGCAGCGGCGGGAGGAGGCGGCGGGGGGAAGGAGGGGAGGGGAGGGGAGGGACAAACCGGCTCCGGGGGAGGGTGGTGGGAGGGGAGGAACGGGGGAAGGAGGAGCCGGGGGGGCGGGCACCTCCTCACCCCACCTCCCTCACCTCCTGCAGGCCTGCGGGGCTCGGGCGCCCGCGGCGGGAGCCGCGCCAGGCCCGCGGGCCCAGGGAATCCCCGTAGCCCCGGCCCTCCCGGGGAGCGCCACCCTGGGGCAGGAGGGAAACCCCTCCCGGCTGCCGCCCCGGGCCCCGCGCTCCGGCCCCGCCCCCGCCCCGCGGGCGCAGAGGCCCCGCCCCCCGACCCCGGCGCGACCCCGCCCTCCATTCACCTTCCCGGCCCGGCCCCGCCCCCCGCGCCCGGCGGGGACCCCCGCGCGTCTGCGCACGCGCTACCCCTCCCGCCGCACCTGGGCGGGGAGCGGCCGCCCGGGCTGGGCGCTGGCCGCGGGCGGTTGGCGCGGGCAGCCGAGGGCCTCCGGCGCGGGTGCGCGGCCGCGGGGGCCGGCGGCGGGCGGTGACGCCGCCAGGGCCAGCCAATGGGCAGCGGGCGGCGCCGGCCCCGGCCGTTCGAAAGGGAAGGCCGGGAAAGGGCGGGAGGGAAGCGCTGGCGGCTGGCGGGAGGGTGCCCTGGCCGAGTCCCCGGACTCGGTTCCCACCCGCGCGCCCACGGAAGGGGCGCACCTGCCCCAGGCTGGGGCGCTAGGGAAGCGGAGGGATCGGCCTGGGAGGGGAGCTGACTGCGGACTGGCCGGATAGGGGGGTCGGACCGGGGGGATCAACCCTCCCCCCCACCCGCCTGCAAAAGTACTTGGGACTGTGGACAAATCCATCTCCCAAAAATGACGAAAACAATCTCTTAGTATGCAGTCATGAATCTTTATTTAAAACAATTTATTTCATAGCCCATATACAGCACCCCCTCCCATAAAGTATCCCTCAGCACCTCCCCTCCACTCCCCATCTCAGAAACTGGGTCTGTCTTCACTTCTTGTTGGCTTGGGCAGTTCCAATGACACACTGGTTCACCTGTTGGAAGGGAACAAATGAAGTTTTCAGAGCAAGCAAAGAAACTTCCTGGCACATGCATGCAGGCCCAGCGCGGGCCCATCCCCCTGCGAGTTTTCCCTCAAATGGCCTCCAATATAAGGGGTGCTGCTCTCAGGGAAGACTGGAAAAAAGGGCTGGGGCTCAGAGTGGTTCTTGTTACGGTGAGGTCAGGCACAATAGGTCTGGAATCTACCCCAAAATAGCCAGAGAAAGAACGCAGAGAGGAGTTCTGCACCCACGAGCAATGAGTTTCCATTTCCAGCAAAGCCTCTCTTCCTATTAGAGAAGCCGCCAACAGTCACTGATGAGCCAAGGCATGCCGGAAAATAAACGGTTCCAAGCATAGAGCAGGAAATAAACCTGATCTGGAATGAAAACCCCTACGGGCCTGCCCCAGGTTCAGGACAGGAGCCAAGATGGAAGGTCCCAAAGGTCTTGGCAAGAATAACGACAACACAAGCTATCAGACACATAAGCTTCTGTAAAATGATCCCCCCCTCACACACACAATACTCGCTGGAAGTCAAGATTGCCTTGGGAAGTTGCCAGGATATCATTAGAGTATGAAAACTGATCAAGAATCCAGTATTTATCCTGACTTTTTGATACAGACCGAATTTCAGAGCCAGCAAAAAAATGGCATAAGGAAGTTCTTTAGTGACTAGAAAGTGCAGAATGGAGAAAATTAAGGGGGGAAACATCACTATTTTAATACTCCGGAGTCTGGGGAGATGGCTAGGGGTTAAAATGCATGCTTTGCATGTATGAGGCCGAATTCAATCCCCTGGCTCTTCCTGTTCCCACCCCTAAATAACCACCCCGCTAATGAAATAATAGGTCAGTAATAAGATCATTGAATAAAAAACATTAATAGGGAATTTTTAGAGCCACTTGTCTTACACATGTGAGGGCCTGGATTCAATCCTTAGCATAGCAGGTTAGAGCACTTGCCTTGCACGCAGCCAACCCATGTTTGATCCCAGCACCCCACATGGTTCCCTGAGCCAGCCAGGAGTGATCCCTCAGCGCAGAGCCAGGACTAAACCCTGAGCACTGCTAGGTATTGCCCCAAAATAAAAACAAAACTGTGTGGAATAATTAGGGTCAGAAAGCTTGTGCTGGAGATAAGGTGCTTGCCTTGCATGTGGTCACTGCAGTTTAATCCCAGGGACCACCTGGTCTCTGGAGCACTTCCACAAACAACCCCTGAGCACAGGGCCAGGAGTAACTTGTATAACCACCAGCACTACACAAATCCCACTCCACCCCCCCCCACAAAAGTGGAATTAAAAATATGAAGTGCCTATCAATTTTTATATTAGAGTTTTGTTATCTAATCAATTTCAACTCTAGAACTACATTAACAGTTATGGCTTTTGTCTATATTTTTTTTTAATTTTTTAAAAAAGTGACAGCATTTCATTTTGGAATTGTCACATCCGAACTTGAGGTGCATAATTCTTTACTTTTACTTAATGGCCTCCTCTCCTCATATTTCCAAAAATATAAGCATCTTCACAAAATAAATACTCCTGACATGATGCAACAGAAAGTATCATATATTATCTAAAATTTCCTGCCAGATTTAAAACAAGTTCAAACTAATTAAAACTAATGCTGGGTGGCTGGAATGATAGCACAGCGGGTAGGGTGTTTGCCTTGCACGCAGCCAACCCAGGTTCAATTCCCAGCATTCCATATGGTCCCCCAGCACCGCCAGTAGTAATTCCTGAGTGCAAAGCCAGGAGTAACCCTTGTGCATCGCCAAGTGTGACACAAAAAGCAAAAAACAAAACAAAACAAAAAAAAACAACCCTTAATGCTGGAGCAATAGTACAAAGATAAGGTGCTTGCTTTGCATGTGGCCAATCCAGCTCAGTCTCCAGCATCTCAAATGGCCCCCCAAGCACTGCCAGGAATAGTTCCTGAGTGCAGAGACAGGGGTAATCCTTGAGCGTTACCAGGTATAGCCCAAACACCAAACAAACCAAAAAAAAAAAAAAGCCCCCCAAGAAACTAATAAAACTGAATCTATCAGATAAAAATGATGAGGAAACTACCAAAGTCCAGAATATGGTGTTTTATATATAAATACATATTAAATGACCCTATTTAACTCCAGAGCCACATGAAACAGGCACTCCCTACTCTTTCACTAAACTGGGTATTAGAACATGTCAGAGTATATGCATTAGTTGTTATGAATCTAAATGAACCCGCAAGAGTGCAAGAGAAATTCTAATCAAAACAGAAGAGCAGAACAGTGCTAAGGTTCTAAGCATACTCCCTCCATGCAGCTTCCAACACTGACTGGGGGACATTTGATAAGAGACCCTAAATAAAGCCGGAATCACAGGGCTACATTTTACAAAGGACTAACAATTACCAGAGAGAAAAATTACCCTGTAAAACAAGCAGTAAAAGGGCTGGAGCAATAGCACAGCGGGTAAGGCATTTGCCTTGCACGTGGCCGATCCGGGTTCAATTCCCAGCATCCCATATGGTTCCCTGAGCACCACCAGGGGTAATTCCTGAGTGCAGAGCCAGGAGTAACCCCTGTGCATTGCCAGTTGTGATCCAAAAAAGAAAAAAAAAAGCAGTAAAGTTCTGAGGGAGATGGGGAGCCAGATCAAAGGGCAGGGGTGCATGCCAAGCCTGCAGTGGTCCTGGGTTCCATCTCTGGCACCACATAGGCGCTTAAGCACCGCCGGAGGTGGCCTTGGTAGCACCCAGCACAGCAAGATGTGAATGGAAAACAAGAGTGGTCTGTAGGCCCCACGCACACTGCGTGGGAGGGAGGGAGGTGGGAGACTTTCTTAGCCTTGGTGGAGAGAATACAAGCATCCTAAATAATTCACAGCCAGAACTACCGCTTGTGGGGTCTGTAACCTGAATAGACAGACAATATCCAATGAGGTCTGAAAAAGTTTTAAGTCTCCTTTGATCCAGCAATCCCATTTCAAGGAATCTCTCCCGAGAGACTCAGCTGTAATTAAACGAATCCAAAATGGCTATGTCCAAAAGGTAGTCAACACGGCCTGGTTTATAGCAGACAGGCTGGAAACAATCAAAGTGACCAGCAGAGGGAACCGGTGGATCAATTTTGGTACATCTGCAGAGCAGTGTCCAAGGATGATGTAAAAATAACGGGACGTTTTTGTGTGCCAATGAGGAGAGTAATATTGGAAGTTTTATTTTGGGGGGGCGGGGGCTAGAGGACAGGGGACATGTGAGAGCAGTGCCTCTCAAGCAGTGCTCAGGGGCCCAGGGGCCACTACAGGTAAGACTCAACCCAACGCAGAGGGCCACCAGGGTCACCTCAGCAGGGCTTGGAGGATCATGCGGCACTGGGATCCAGCCCAGGGCCTCACATCCAGGCCTCTGTGCTTGGTTCCTCCCATGGCTGGAACTGTGTGGCCAAGAAGAATGATGGGGAGGAGGGGGAGGGAGAGCTCTTTCCTAGGGGAGTGAATAAGCAGACACAGAGGGTTTGTCCTGGACAAAAATGAGGGAGAAAAGCACTGAAGGATACGAGGATAGAAATGACTCCTTAGGGGGCAGGGGGATGCCACGAGGTAGATAGGGGTGGAGGCAAAACTTTATTATGTGTGTTTTTTCCCTCTGGATTTCCGAACCACACCCGAAGATACTCAGGCTTACTCCTGGCTTTGTGCTCAGGGACCACACCTGGTCGGGCTTGGCAGCCCCCTATGGGGGTGCTGGGAATGAAACCTGGGTTGGCCACGTTGGAGACAAGCACCTTCCCGGCTCTGCTATCCCTCCAGCTCCATATGTGGTTTCCTCTAGAGTTTAATTGTCACTGTCACTGTCCTCCCGTTGTTCATCGATTTGCTCGAGCGGGCCCAATAACATTGTGAGACTTGTTACTGTGTTTGGCATATCGAATGAATACACGTTACGGGTATCTTGCCGGGCTTTGCCTTTTGGGCGAGATACTCTTGGTAGCTTGCCGGGCTCTCCGAGAGGGGTGGACGGATCGAACTCCAGTGGGCCATGTCGACCATTTCGGCCGCGTCCAAGATGCAGACGCCCTGCCCGCTGTGCTATCTATCGCCGCAGCCCAGATTTCGATGACCTACTTTAAGACTTAATTTAAAAACCTTCAAATGTCAATGGTTAAAATTGAGTAGTGCCAAGTACCTGACCATTGTAAATCCCACGGGAATGAATGTGGAGGCCCAGGGAGCCCCGCTCAGGGCGGCAGTCTGCCTTAGTGGGCGACATACCTTGGACGCAAAGCGCAGGGAGTTGAGGGACTCGGAGAAGTTCTCTTCCAGCGGGGAGATGTTCACAAACATGAGCCTGCGGGGAGAACGAAGGGGGCCGAAGCCCGACGGCCATGGCTAAGACAGAGCCAGGACCCCGTCTCCACGGTGGAGCCCAGCACCACGCTTCCCACCACGCCCCTTCTGCCTCTCCCCTGCACCCACATCTTGGCACTCCCGCCCAGAGAATTCTGCAGCAGGTAGGTGAGCTTGCTGTTCCGGTAAGGCACGTGGGACTCCTAGAGGGGCAGGGAACAGCTGATTAGGAGAGGGTTTAGCAGGGCAGCGCTCCCCAGCAGCCCCTCAGCCCCGTTCTCACCTTGTTGCTCAGGGCCATGATGACCAGGCCCAGCGTGGACAGACTGCTGTTGATGGCCTGTGTCTCCCGGAGGCGCTCCCGCTCCCCGGGGCCCCCGGCTAAGGCCGGGTCTAGCCGCTCACTTCCCGCCAGGTCCACCAGACTGAGGGGAGCACCACACTGCAGGCCCCGCGCGGTGTGCTCCCCGCAGATCTGCAGCTGGAACACACTGTGGCTGCGCGAGGACCGCTCGTTCTGGGCTGTGCGGGCCACTGCCCGGTTCTGGCGGGCCAGGTGTATCAGGGCCTCCACCTGTGGATGGGGAGCACAAGAGAGGCAGGGAGGCAGGGTCAGGCAGCTCCATGCAGGGACGGTGACGACCAAGCCAGCCCCTGCCCCCGGGCGCTTGCTTTGCCAGCCAGTCCAGAGACCAAATGATGCCAAATGCCCAGATGGACTAAGGAATAAAACAGAAAAAGGGGGTGCTAGGGTGGGGTGAAGGTTTCCGAGAGCAAGGGAGGCCAGGGACAGCCTCACTGCTTTAAGCTCTTCCAGGCAAGTGTGGCCAGGACAGGGACGCTCGGGAAGGGCAGAGAGCCGGCAAAGGTGCCGTGACCACTGAGCTGGCACCACTAGTGACGCCTGTGACAATCACCAGGCGTCAGAGAATCCCCTTCTCCACTGCCTACTTCCATCAAGAGAATCTACATGACAGCCGACAGCCAAACCCACCTGTGGCCCCCACGTTCCAACACCAGCACACCCGGGGCCTCACCTCTTTCTCACAGGAGACGGGGACGTAGCGGGCATTGGTGACTGTCAGCTCCTCGCTCCCTGGCCCTGCCCGGCGGATCTCACACTCCCCGGCCTGGCCCTTCCCCTTGCCCGTGGCCAGTAGATCTCGGACAGTCTCATTGTAGATCTCCACATAGCTGGCCACAAAGCTGTAGGTCCAGCCCTGGCCACTCATCTCCCGGGCCACAGAGAAGAGGTGCCGCATGGCCCGAGGTATCAGCCCCTCCACCTGAGGGTCTCCCCCAGGGCCCCCCTCCATCGTGAAGGTCTTGCCGCTGCCCGTCTGACCGTAGGCAAAGATGCACACGGGGTAGCCATCCAGGGCAGACTGGACGAGCATGGCTATCTCCTCGAACACTTCCTCCTGCCCGCTGCCTGGGGGGAACACCCGGTCAAAGGAAAAGTCGTGGCGGAGGGTGGGGGCTGGCACCCCACTCAGAGTGGATCGCCGCTCGTCGGCTCGGGAGAGGCTCAGGCGAGTGGGAGTTTCCGAGGGGCCGCCAGGGCCAGAGGGGAACTGGAGGAAGCCAGGGAGCGGGCTGGGCTCCCCCGGCAGCACTGGGCGGACCCGGCAGAACACGCGGATGTTGCCTTTGAGCTCCTGCAGCTGGTTGTGTAGCCGCCGGCGCTCCATCTCGAGTGCGTGGAGCCGGTCCCCGCGCTCGGTCAGCAGGGCTGCCTGCGCTGCAGTCTCCTGCCGCAGAGACGCCACCTCCGCCTGGCTGCCCGACAGGGCTGCTTCGGACTCCTGCAGCTTCCTCTGCCCGGAACAAAGATGCGGCCGAGAAGAACGAAAGCCGAGAAACGGTTATGGTAGAGTCAGGGGTGTGCCCTACCTCCCAGAAGCTGGGTCGGAGAGGGAATGGTGTGTGAGAAGGGAATCAAGGGGTTCTCCCGGACCGTCTAGTGGGGCTGGACGAAGAGTATCGAGGCTATCTAGGAAGTCCAAGAGAAAGTTCCAGATAAGCACATGCAGAATGTCCCCCAAGGGAGAAGAGAGTCTGGAGATACTGTCCTAACAGCTGATTGGTGCTGATGCTGTCATTCCCCTGGTTGGTGCTCGGCAAGGAGTCCAGGGAACACAACAGGGATATTCCCGGGGGGTCTGCGCCCGGCATCGCCGGGAGGGCCGTGTGGAATGAGCTCTGTTCCACCTCCTGAGCACGCTATCCCCTGCCGCAGGGGTCGGGGGTCAGGAAGGAGGTGGGGGTAAGGCAGAAGGGGAGACACTTCCAGGGGGAGCCGGGACAGCCCAGGGTAGGCAGGAGGGGTTCTGGGGGGACAAGAGGGTGTGAAGCTCAGGGGAGTGGGGAGGGGAGGTGCCCTGAAAGGGAGGCGTGGACGCTCACCTCCTGCTGGTCCAGCCGCTCCGCCAGCATGCTGCGCTCCTCCCGCAGCCCCCGCTGCTCGCTCTGCAGCTCCCGCACAAGGCTCTCCTGCGCGCCCAGCCGCTCCTCCAGCTCCAGGACTCGGCCCTTCAGGACCTCCAGCTCCTGCTGGCCCTGCGCGACCTGGGCTCGCGCCTGGACCAGCTCCTCATCTCGGGCGCTGCGCTCGGCCCCCAAGGTCGTGGCCTGCTGCTGAGCCTCCCCGAGCTGCTCCCGGAGCTGCTGGTTCTCCCTAGTCAGGGCCTGGACCTTCTCCCGGCAGCACTTCAGCTCCGCGCTGACATCGGATAACTGACCCTTGATGTCCCAGGCCGGGCGCTTGCCGGGTCGCTTCCCTCCGGGCACAGGAGGGGCGGCAGATGCTGAGATGGGCGCAGAAAAAACCAAGGTCGGGGCACGCTCTCCCCCCCCATCAAGCCTTGAAGGTGGCCCCGGTGCTGTAAACTCCCTCCCCTCCAGACAAGGCGGAGAACAAGGGGTCGCTCCGGGGTACTCACCCCCTCCTCGCCCCATCCCCGCCTCGCACCCCAGGGTTATGGGTGTCACCTACTGCTGGGTTTCTGGGCAGGAGCGGCCGGGCCTGGCTTCTGAGTCTTCAACACTAGACAACCAAAGCACTGGCTTTAAAGGACAGAGTCGGGGTCCCGCCCCCTGCCCCATTCCCCCGTGACCCACACCCGAATCCACCCGCCCCAGCTTCTAAGAGCAATTACCTGTGGAACACCGGGGTGCCGTCTTCCTGGGGACTTTTGGAGCTGCCAGGTAGGGGAGAGAGGAAGAGCAGAAAAATCACTCTCCGAGGTGGGTACTCCTGCTGGCCTGGGTTGTGAGGGCGAGGGCTGCTGTTGGGGTGCTGGGAATTCAAGCCGGGAGGGGCCTCAGAGAGGCCAGCCTCTGCGTCCCTATACAGCCACACCCATAGACTGGAGATGTTTCCTCTAAAGATTATTAGACCAGACCCTAAAGCACCTTCCTCACACCAACATGAGTCAACACGCCAGCAACCAGCCTGGAGCAAGACGCGCACAGAGGCCAGGCGGGTGGCACCGTGGGCAGAGCATGCTGCGGTGTGGGTACAAACATGGGACAATGCAGCCAGACGTTGGCGGACCCACAGACAATGCCTGCAAGGACACAGCTGTCCCTATGAGAAGGGGACTCTCCCCCACCAGGGCTACTTTTCACTCTGGAACAACTTTCATGTCTTCAGAATTTTGAACCAAGGGAAACAGAGAAGCTGAGCAGAATCAGCCTCACTGAAAGGCAGGAGAGGAAGAAGGAGGGAAGGCACCTGGGTCACCTTGTGTCTGGGGAACTGCGTTAAGGACAGACGCTCTGGGGTGGGAAGTGGCTGTCTTGGTCGTCAGGTCCAAGCCTCGCATCCTTTTCTGAGAAAAGACAAGGGCATGGTCCATGGTTGTACCTTTCCCAGTTGGTGCTCACTCGCATTCTCTCCCCACCCCCGACCCCTGACCTCCCTCCTCCCTCCCCACTCTCAAGCCACCCAAACCCACTCACCTTCTGCGGCTCCAAGGCATTCTCCATCTGCTCGGGCCTCCTCTTAAGCCTGCTTCCCGAGAGAGGCAGCCGAGAAGTGGCCTTGAGCAGGGGTCTCTTCAGGTCTATGTTCCCCTTGACTTCCAACAACGGGGACCTCTGCTGAGAAAAGGCGATTGTCAGGACAGGCAGGGGGTAAAGACTGGAGCTCCAGGGGCTGGAGTGATAGCACAGTGGGTAGGGTGTTTGCCTTGCACGCAGCCAACCCGGGTTCGATTCCCAGCATCCCATATGGTCCCTCGAGCACCGTCAGGAGTAATTCCTGAGTGCATGAGCCAGGAATAACCCCTGTGCATCACCGGGTGTGACCCAAGAAGCAAAAAAAAACAAAAAGACTGGAGCTCCTGCCGGGCACCAGGAGCCCGGCTTCCATTCCCGCATGGCGCAGACCTCCAGCACTGCTGGGAGTGGCCCCTGGGCACGGCCAGGTACAGCCCACAAACCAGAAAAGAGACACAACATCCCAGGTATCCTAATGTGCACGGAGGTCCCAAAAATTCCTCCTTTTTGGGTTTTCCAGCCCAATTGTGATGGTACTCAACAGCCATGATGAGTAAGTACGTCCTGCGCCTCATTCCAGGGCTCACAGATCATGGGCCAGCTAGAAGGCATAGAGAGAAGCGGGCCCTAATACAAAAAAGGGACTCTTGGGCCCACAGAGATAAAGTAGGAAGGCTCTTGCCTTGCATGTGGCCAAATCAAGTTTGATTCCTGGCACCATATATGGCCCCCCAAGCACCACCAGGAGTGACCCAAGAGGCTCAGAGCCAGAAGTCAGCCCTAAGCACTGTAGGTTATGACACACCCCATCAGAAAAGTGAAAAATAAAAAAATTGGGGGGGGAGATTTGGGGGCAACATCCAGCAGTGCTCAGGGATTACTCCTGGCTCTGTGCTCATAAATTACTCCTGGTGGTGCTCAGGGAACTATATGGGATGCCAGGGATTGAGTCAGCCATGTGCAAGGCAAATGCCCTGCTCGTTGTACTATCACTTTGGCCCCAAGAAAAGTGAAAATCTTAAAGGGAAAGGAAGTCTGGCTAGACACTGGAGTTCAGCTAATCTTAAGGGGAACATTTAAGCAAGCAGAGAGAAATGGACACTTTTCAAAGGTTAAAAACTCAAACATTCTTGGCAAGGCTAGGAAACCAATAGGCGCTTCTAGTTAGAGCTGAGAATTTTTTTTCCTTTTTGGGTAACACCCAGCGATGCGCAGGGGTTACTCCTGGTTCATGCACTCAGGAATCACTCCTGGACATGCTCAGGGGACCATATGGGATGCTGGGAATTGAACCCGGGTCAGGCCGTGTGCATGGCAAACGCCCTACCCGCTGTGCTGCCACTCCAGCCCCAGAGCTGAGAATTTTTAAAATTAAAATGCCACACCTGGCAGTGCTCAGTGATCACTCATGGCAGGCTTGGGAGATTATATGGGGTGCCAGGGACCAAACCTGGGTTGGCTACATGCAAGGCAAGCATCCTATCGCTCCTGCTCCTAAGCTTAAATAAGGGAAAGGGTAGGAGCTGGGTACGTGTAACGACTGAGTGGGAAGAGAGCATGCATTAAACTGTTTTACTGATTCTTCTAACCCAAGGCCTCAGAAACCGGAAGTGCAGGATCTGCCCAACTCCACCATCCGTCACCCCTAACCCCTAATGATGAAATATTCAAAATGTCTTTTCTATATCAACTTACTGAATCCTCACAGCAGCCCACTGAGGAGGCCCTACAAGGTAAAACAACTTATCTAAGGTCTTCGGCAAGGGAGTGGGGGTGAGGTGGGGAGGGGAGAAGCACGGGAGCATTGAATGCAGGCAGACTGGTTCTGACTGGGCTGCTCACCCCAGCCCAGATGGCTTCAGAGCCAGGAGCAGGGTGGGCGTCAGAGATTCTCCTCCCAGGAATGAGGAGGAACTGCCAGCAGGCTGGCTTGCCCAGGCTAGCCCAGCAAGTGGCCCTCAGGCTGAGGCCAACCAAGTACAATGTGAGGTGGCGGAGGTGGACAGTGTTCTCCTTTACCAGGCTCAGTTTGTGCTGAGGATTGGGCCCGAGATCTTCCTACCTGTGGTGACCAAGTCCTAGTTTGCCCCCAAAGAAACAAAAAGGACAACTCTGCCTCGCACATAGTAGGTGATCAGTAAACAGCTGATGACTAAAAGCAAAATTCTATTTTTCACTGACACATCACAGTTTATGATCGTTAGATGTCAGGACGTGAAGACTTCAGGATGAAGCTTGGGTTTGGGTAAATCTAAACGTGAAATCCTAGTAAACAGGGGTTCAGGCCAGCTCCCTTTTCTAGAAGTCAATATACTCCACTGAAGTATATTGGAGGTGGTTATGGGATACAGAGAGGTATATTAAGTCCCATATATAACCTGGGGGAGGAGAAAAAGGGGTCCTCTGGACTGCATTAGCACTTTCTCTTCTCCCTACACCCCAAAGCAGCAGCAATGAGGGTACAAAAGCAAGAGATATGACTATTTCCTTCGGGGGGATAGAGGAGTACTATGGGACCACTGCCTATTCTCTGTGCTCAGGAGTGACCCCTAGAGGGACCAGGGAACCCTATGTGGTGCCGGGATCGGACCCAGGCGACTGCGTACAAAGCGGGGGCCATCCCGACGGGCCCCTTCAGACACAGCGGTGGGGGCTCATCTCGGAACTCAAGCACACGGTGCAATCCTGGGTGGGAATGGAGAGCCAGGCACGGGTCCGACAGGCCTGCGCCGCTGGAATGTGAAATCCTGGAGGCATGAAAAGTGGGCAGGGAGCGGCGCCCCCGGAATCGCGGGGCAGGGCAGGCACAGGGCGTCCCGGGCCTCGGGGGGCCGCTCCCTGGCTTCTCCACTCTCGCCCCCGTGCCCCTTTCCACGCCGCGGAGGCGCAGGACCGTCTCCTTCCAGGCAGGCAGGTCTGGAGCCCGGAGCTCGCCCGCCTCGGACACGGACCGCCTCGACCCGGCTCTCGGGGACCGCGCCGGCCCCTACTCACGTGCGGCTCCATGTCCGGCTCCGTCCTTCACAGGCTCGGGAAGCGCAATGGAACACGAGCCGAGCGCCGGGGCTCGCGGGCCCCGCGTTCTCGGCCCCGGACGCCACGCAAAACACAGGCGCGCCCCGGGCACCAACAGCCGCCACTTTTGAATTCAAACGGCCGCCACACCGCTCACCTCCGCCGGGGCCAATCGCCGCCGCCGCCCCCGCCGAGGGCCAATCGCAGCGCCCTGCGCCTCCCCAGCCCCGCCCAGCCGGCCGCGGAGTTACACTTCCGCTCCAGGCCCGCGTCTTCCTCCCGCAGCGGCCCGGGCTGAGCCGCCGCGCCGCACTTCCGCCCGGCTCGCCGCCGCCGCCGCCGCACGCCGCCTCCAAAGATGGTCGGAAGGCGCCGCCCAAACGTACCGCTGTGGGCGCGGGGAGCGGGGCGGGAGCCACGCGTGCGCACATAGGGACCCGGCCCGGCCCGGCCCGGGGCAGCACGAGCGCGCCCTAGCGGCTGCCATGTGGAACTACGCCTTAGTCCTGGCCGCGTCTACCCGATAGTGCGACCAGCCCTGGGCGCCCAGGCTCCCAGCCTCGTCCAGCAGGTCGTGGAAGTAGGAGCAGAAGCCCTCAAGCAAATGGGAGCGTGACGGCCTCGGCTCGTGCCAGGGTCATTCTGGCGTTTCACATCGCACCGAGGGGCCTTGGGCGCTACCTGCAGGAAGCGTGCTGCTGAGAATTTGAAGCTCGGGGAGAAGGGTTTCTTCCTGCGACCCCCCGCAGATCTGCCCACCTCCTGTGTACTTACCCTGGCAGAGGCACTGGCTTAGGGCCTTCGGAGTCTGGAAGGGTCTTCTACTTCCGTTTTTGTACTATTTAATGCTTTTCATGATTTATATTTTCATAATCACCAAATTAATTTCATAAGTCACTGTTCCAAACGGTATGCATCCCTGATCTACGATGTAAGAAGAAACAAGATTAGAATATTCAAGTACCAAGTACTTGGCTACTACTGGTTGGACTGGATCTAGATTTCATTAGCTTCAAATTTCCGTTATTGCACACTTGTTGCTATTGCGGTGGGTCTAACTTCCGGTGGGCGACCCTTTTCTGTGAGCATCAGAGTCACTAACTTCGATCTCCAAGTCCACCTCCAGGCCCAAGCCTAACTTCACTTCCAACTGCTAGCTTCTGCACTTGCTCCGTCCACTGGGCCCTGTTCACAGACATTACTATCCCTGCCCCTTGTTTCTGCTAGCTGATTGGTTATGCCCTATGTCAATGAGGATTACTGATGGGAAAGACCAATTGCATGGCATATGTAAATGAGGGGCGTAGACTGATTTCAGGAAAACGAAATAGTTGGGTATTCCTTTATCAGAGTTAGAAAAACAACCAATTGGATGACCTATGTAAATAAGGGAGCTCTTGAGTCTTTAGTCCCTCCCTCATTTTTTCCCCTAACAACACTATCCCTAACCATCTTAGTATTAAAAAACAACAGTCCTTTACTGCAAATAATTTACATAGTACCACATTTATTGATCGGACTTTCCAACTAATCCTGGGGTGATGCAAAATAGGATTTTTATTGATGAGATTGAAAGGCAAGAGACTAGGTGATGCATTTTGGTGCCTAATGGGAGAACTACTGATCTGCTTGGGATCCGAGCATTTCCCATTAGGCACCAAAATGCATCACCTGGTCAACACGGCTGTGTTCTCTCTTCAAACCACATTAACAGTTTTAAGTTTGACGTTCTTACTGATAGCTGCTGATAAAGATGCAACAGAGCAGGCTAGAGCCATAGTAAGGTGGATAGGGCACTCGCCTTGCATTAAGCCAACCCAGGTTTCATCTCCAACACCCCATTTGGTCCCCTAGGCCCAACTGGAGTGACCCCTGAGCCCAGAGCCAGAAGTAAGCCCTGACCACCACTGGGTATGACCCCCAAACCCAAAATAAATAAATTTAAAAAATTAAATATTGCATAATTTGTTCGACCATTGTATGACTGAAGCTCAAACATGAAAGCTTTGTAACTATAAACAAAATAAATAAAAAATAAAACAAGGCTGAAGTGATAGCACAATGGGTAGGGTGTTTGCCTTGCACGTGGCCGACCTGGGTTCGATTCCCAGCATCCCATATGGTCCAGCGAGCACTGCCAGGAGTAATTCCTGAGTGAAGAGCCAGGAGTAACCCCTGTGCATCACCGGGTGTGACCCAAAAAGCGAAAAAAGAAAAGAAAATAAATAAATAATAAAACAAAATAATCAACCAAACAGAAGTCCCATCTCTTGGTTTTATTAATTGATGGGGCTGGGGGTGGGTCTCTTTATATTATTTATTTCTGCTCTAATTTGTATTCTTTCTCTCATTCTCTCATTGGACTCCTTTATTGCTGTTTTTTTTTCTAGTTTCATAAGGTGTGAAGTTAAGTTATTTGAGTCTTTCCTGATTTCTGTATTACTATGAACTTTCCTCTTAAAACACACAGTCTGTGTCCCATATGTTCTAGTAGCTTATGTATTTATTCCTAGTTGACTCCAGGAATATTTTTATTTCTTCTTTATGTTCTTTTTCACCTACTAACTATTCAGTAATGGATTGTTCAGTTTTCAAATGTCTTGAATTTTTCCTAGCTTCCTGTGTTGTTTGGGTTTTATTTTTGTTTGTTTCGGGGCCACAACTGGTGGTGCTGAAGGCTCCCTCTTGACTCTGAGCTCAGGGATCACTCACTCCTGGCAGTGCTTGGGGACCATATGGGGTGCTGGGGATGAAACTTAGGTCAACTGCAGACAGGGCAAGCTCCCTGCCCACTGTACTGTCTGTCTGGTCCCTCTAGCTTTCTGTTTGTGGTTCATTTCTACCTTCAAAACACTGTGGTCCAAGAAGAAAGTTGATAAAATTTCTATATTCCTGATTTTATGAAGACTCGTTTTGTGTCCCAGTATGTGGTCTGTCCTGAGGAATGTCCCATGTGCACTGAGAAGAATGTGTACTTTTGGGGGAAGGCCCAGTTCTTTCATTTTTCCATTTAAGGACAATGTTTCTTTATTAAATTTTTGTCTGGTTGCTGTATCCAACAGTGGGGTGGGGACAGGGGTGTTAAAATCTCTTATTACTACTATGATGTTGTCCATATTTTCACTCAGACCCATTAGTAGTTGCTATATATATATATAGATAGATAGATAGATAGTTAAATAGATGTTTCTTTTATAGTTCTTTTATGTTAATGTGTGTTAAACCTTCTGCATATACAGAGCCTTTGATCATTAAATTATTCCATCTCAGGCCTTCATATCCTTTTGAAATTTGAATTCAATTTTTTCAGAATAAGTACAGACAGTCCAGTCTTTTTTTAGGCTACTACTTAGACCTATATTACTTTTTTCCCCAGCTTTTTACTTGAGTCTGTGTTTATCGTAATAGTCCAGGTGTGGACTATTCAAATAACAGAAGGTTGTGTTCTGCTTCCAACAGATCCTCAGAACTAATTTGCAGAGCAGATAGAGTAATAGTACAGTGGGTAGGGAGTTTGGTCTGACCGGGGTTCGATCCCCAGAGTCCATCTGGTCTCCTGAGCCCTGCCAGAAGTGATCCTGAGCACAGAACCAGGAGTAAGCCCTGAACACTGCTGGTTGTGGTTAAAAAAATCTTCTTAAGGTATAAAAAGGGCCCAGAGAGATAGTATAACAGGTAGGGCGCTTGCCTTACATGTGGCTGACTAAGTTCAATTCCTGACACCCCATATGGTCCCCCAAGCTCTGCCAGGAGTGACCCCTGAGCTTAGAGCTAAAAGTAAGCCCTGAGCATTACTATGTGTGCTCCCAAATCAAAAACATTTTTAAATTTAGAGTCCAGAGTTGAAAACATATATATGCATAAAGGAGAATAGGCATTTTATCATATTGTATTAAATGGTTTTTAATTTTCTTATTTACATAGGTGGGGCTAGAGCGATAGCACAGCGGTAGGGCGTTTGCCTTGCACGCAGCCAACATGGCCGACCCGAGTTCGATTCCTCCGCCCCTCTCAGAGAGCCCAGCAAGCTACCGAGAGTATCTCGCCCACACGGCAGAGCCTGGCAAGCTACCCGTGACGTAGTCGATATGCCAAACATAGTAACAATTGTCACAATGGAGACGTTACTGGGCCCGCTCGAGCAAATCAATGAACAACGGGAGGGCCTTTACCTTTACCTTACCTTTATTTACATAGGTCAAAATCATATAGTAATCACTGATTGGCTCTTAGTGATTTAGTTTCTGTTCACTCTATTAGCCAGTGCTTAAAGTGTTGTTGGAATAAGCAATATAAAGTAAATTTGTTATGTGCCTATATATTTGTGTGTATATGTTTCTTACTATGTTACGTTATATTAATTATATACCTTACTACCAGCAAGATCCTTAAATTACTTGTGATCCAATTAGTGTTCAACTATTTCAGGACTTTTTTTTTTTCCCCTTTTTGGGTCTAGAGCGACAGCACAGCGGGTAGGGCGTTTGCCCTGCACGCAGCCAACATGGCCGACTGAGTTCAATTCCTCCGCCCTTCTCGGAGAGCCCGGCAAGCTACCGAGAGTATCTTGCCTGCACGGCAAAGCCTGGCAAGCTACCCCTGACGTATTTGAACAACGGGGTGACAGTAACAGTGCTTTTTGGGTCACACCTGTAGATGCTCAGGGGTTACTCCTGGCTCTGCACTCAGGAATCACTCCTGGCAGTGCTCAGGGGATCATATGGGATGCTGGGAATCGAACCCGTGTCAGCCGCGTGCAAGGCAAATGCCCTACCTACTGTGCTACCGCTCCAGCCCCCAGACTAATTTTTTGCAGTTGTTTCTTGTGCCTTTCTATGACAACTCCCCACTCCTTCGTTAGTGCCCAGGAGCCAATCCAGGGCCTTGTATATACAAGGCACCATGTGTGCTGGACCGAGTGGCAGGTCTGACCAGACTGTCATCCTCCTTTTAAAAGTGTTCTTTGAGGGCCAGGAATGTGACTGAATGATAAAGTATATGCCCTGTATGCAAGTGACCTGGGTCAATTCCCAGCGCCACAAAAATGGAATGAAATAGAGGCTGGAGGGGCTGGAGCAATAGTACAGAGGGT